CATGCACAACATCACTTCGAACAGCCAGATGGACGGTTGGGTTGGGTGACGCTGCTGAGGACCAAGATCAGTTCGTCAACCTCTTCCCCGCCCTGCTTGATGACCCGGAGGTTGTCAACAACGACTGGACTGCAGTGATGCAAGTGCACTCCGACTACTACAACGTCCGCACCCTCCCGTACACTGATGAGAACACGTGGTGCTTCCCAGTGGTGCTGCCACAAGTTGCGTGGAGCGATCTCATGAACTACGTGCGTACCAACAGTTGGGCCTACCAGTTGCCCTACGTGCCTACAGATGTGGGTTGGAGGGTACTCTTGGCTACACATGTCGGCTTCTCATCCATCTTCGACAAGCTCGTGGCTCGAGCAGGGTTGGCTGCCTTCTTCGCGACATGCAAGTCGATCGCAGCTCCCCAGTGGTACACCAGTGAGATGGTGCAGTTACTGTGCAGTGCTGATGCCACCATGCGAGCCTTGAACGGGCAGTGGTTCGAGAAGTACGCCTTCGGGATGGAGCCCCCAGGCTTGAGAGCTGCCAGCCAAGTCACACAAGCGGGGTCACTGGCCTACAGAGCAGCGCCTTGGTGGCCATCCTTGGCCCAACTTCAAGCAGCTGGCCTCAACCAGATCTGGCCCAACAACGGGGACAAGGTGCAACTTGGTCTAAAGGTTACCTCACGGTTGCCTCAAGGTTCCCAAGGTTTCCAAGCAAAGGTTGTCAAGGTTCCCAAGGTTGCATTGTGAGGTTCCCAAGGTTACATTGTCAAGGTTCCCTCAAGCTTTCCAAGGTTCCCAAGCAAATGCCTCAAAGGTTACCAAGTAAAGGTTGCCAAGTCAAGGTTCCCAAGGTTCCCAAGGCTCCCAAGGTTCCCAAGGTTCCCAAGGTTCCCAAGATTCCCAAGGTTGCCAAGGTTCCCAAGGTTCCCTCAAGGTTCCCAAGGTTCCCTCAAGGTTCCCAAGGTTCCCCCAAGGTTCCCTGAAGGTTCCCAAAGTTTCCTCAAGGTTCCCAAGGTTTGATTGTAATACAGGAGCTTTTACACAGAAAAACCTGTTCTAAAGAAGCCTTACCACATGAAGCCTTTACACAGAGCAGCTTTACACACAGACGCTTTTTCACAAAGAAGAGGAACTTTAACGCCCAGATGCCCAAGCCTTTACACACAGGAGCTTTTGCACACACACGCCTTACAAAAAGAAGCTTTTAGACACAGAAACTTTTACAGCCTTTTCACAAGAAAGCTTGTACACAGAAGCTTTGCGCAGAGATGCCTTTACAAACAGAAACTTTTACACACAGAAGCTTTTACTCAGAGAAGCCTTTACAAACAGAGCAGCTTTTACACACAGAAGCTTTTCCACAGAGAAGATTTTGCACAGAGAAACTTTCTCACAGACAAGTGTTTGCGGGAAGGAACTTTGCGCACAAACGGTTTTTACATACAGCAGCTTTCACACAGAGAAGCCATTGCGCGGACCAGCTTTTATACTCAGGTTTGTTTTCACAGACCAGTGTTTACGCGGAGCAGGTTTTTCACACACCGAAGCTTTGACGCAGAGAGGCCTTTACAGAGAGAAACTTGTACACACAGAAGCTTTTACACACAGACGCCTGTACACAGAGCAGCTTTGACACACAGACGCTTTACACAGAGAAGCCGTTACACAGAGCAACTTTTACACAGAGCGGCTTTTGCACACAGACGCCTTTACACAAAGAAACTTTTCTACACAAACGCTTTTACACATAGAGGCCTTTACACACAGAAGCTTTTTACGCGCAGAAGTTTTTGCAGAAGCTTTACACAGAGAAGCTTTTACACAGAGAAGCCTCTACACAGAGCATCTTTTATACACAGAAGCATTTACACACACACAAAAACTTTACACACACGCCTTTACACACAGAGCTTTTACACACAGACGTTTTTATGCATAGAAGCTAGTTCACAGAGCAGGGTTTACACACCGAAACTTTTACACAGAGAGAGGCCTTTGCACAGAGCAGCTTTTACAATCTTATACGCGCAGAGGCACAGAAACTTTAAACACGCAAATGCCCAAGCAATAACACGGACAGGTCTATACACACAGAGGCATATACACAAAAGTTCTTCACACAGATGCGGCAGATGCTTCTACACACAGAAGCTTTTGAACACAGACGCCTTTACACGCAGAAGCATTTACCCAGAGATGCTTTGACACATACACGCCTATACACACAGAAACTTTTAGGCACAGATTGTTTTCAGATAATCACAGAAGCTTTGACACCGAGAAGCCTTTACACAGAGAATCTTTTACACACAGAAAGTTTTGCGCTAGCCCGCGAGCGCTCGACAGAAGCCCCGCCGTGAGTTCGAGCGGCGGCGTGTGCGGGCTGGACCGCCCGCTGGGCTGCCGTCGTGGCGGTCGCGGTGCAAAGGGCCTTGGCGACCAGCCTCCTGGAACTGCCGCCCGCAGGAGACACGCTCACGGGCACTCCGCCGGACCTCCCCGACCTGCCGCAGGCGGGGCTGCCGCGCCAATACGACGCTGGCGGCCCGTCCCAACCGACCGGACGCCTACAGGGAAAAAGGTGCGAAGGAAAAACAAAAAAGAAAAAAATAAAAAGTTTTACACACACAAGCTTTTCCACAGAATCTTTTACACAGAGAAGCTTTTACGCACAGGAGCTTTTACACACAGACGCCTTTACACACAGAAACTTGTACACACGGAGGCTTTTACGCACAGAAACTTTTGCACAGAGAAGCCTTTACACACAGACGCTTTCCCACAGAAAAACCGATTCCACAGAGCAGCTTTTACACGCTTCAATAAATCGCAATTTAACTTAAGTTTTTGACGTTCGGCCATCATATTGTGCGAAAGGGTTGCATCCGGCGTTGGAAAATCGCAACTTTTGACCTTGGGCAATCATTTTGCGTGAAAGGGTTGCGCCTGACCTTGTAAAATCGCAATTTTACACAAGTTTTATTTCGCGCGAAACAGTTGTGCCTGACGTTTCAAAATGGATAAAGTCGCAATTTTACACCAATTCTTGAACGTTTGCATCTGGCATTAAAAAATCACAGTTTTCCCACAGTTATCGCCATTTGACTTTCGTGCCACGCTTGCATCTGGACTTTCAATCACAATATCACACCAGTTTTTGACGGTTGACCCTCATTTCGTGCGAAGGGGCTGCGACGGGCCTCACCAAATTTGCATTTTGCCACATGTTTGGATGTCCGACCGGCGCGATCTCTGCAGAGGGTTGCCCGTGCCCAAAAGAAATTCACATTCCACCACATGTTTGGGCTTCTGAAACGCAGGATCTCCGCAGACGGTTGCTGCGGGCAAAAAAGTTTCGCCTTTCTCCACACCACATGTTTGCCCATCCGACATGCGCGATCTCCACAGAGGGTTGCCCAAGGACAAACAAGACCCGCATTTCGGCACACGTTTGGGTGTCCGACACGCCGCAGAGGGTAACGGTTCGTAAGCCACCGCCTGGCCCTGCCGCCAGAGAGAAATAGAAGAACTGTAGAAGTCTGATTTTTGCAGGAGTTCAGGTACAGTTTGATCACCTGGAAGTTAGCTGAACGCCTGTAGCAAATCCTGTGTAACAATTTCTGTGCAAATGACCTTGCAGGAGTCTTGTAGGAGTTCAAGTAGAAGTGGATCACCTGCAAGTCAACTCCTGTGTAAATGACATTTTGCAGTTTTGTAGGCGTTCCCTAGAAGTTGATCACCTGTAGCTGATGTTTTGTGATGTTGTCTTTTTTGTAAATGATGAGGATGATGTTGTAAGTGATGTAAGGGTAGATCGATTAGAAGATGTAGGTAATGTAGAGGATGTAGTGATATAGATGATGATGTAGGTCATGTATGCGTTGTAGATAATGTATGTAATGTAGATGAGGTTAATGGAAAAAGTTTATGTAGGTGATGTAGATTGTGTAGGTGAGATAAGTGATGATGATAAAGGTGATGATGATGATGATGACGATGATGATGATGGTGTAGATGTAGATGTAGATGTAGATGTAGATGTAGAGAAGGTGGTGTAGAAGATGGTATAGATGTAGGTGATGTAAAGGACATAAGAGATGTGGATGATGTATGTTAGGTAGATGAAGTGAAGAGTGAGGTGGACAGCAGTTCTTTGAGAAAAACCCTTCTCACAAGCTTCGGGAATATTGGCCCTTCGGCTTCCACGGTATTGCAAACGCTTTCGGAAAAACGGTTTTTCATAAAGTGTTGGTGCTGTGATTGCGCCTTGCACGCCCGACCTCTAGAGTAAAAACGGCGGGACAATAAACATACTTCACTCATTGCGTGTTTGGCAACTGTTTTTGTTTCTGGCTGTTGGGGGATACTCTTTGGGCTTATTTTGAAACTTCCGCCACCGCCTTGTGCGGTACTACTGGTATAATGTTGATGATGATGTTAATGTTGATAATGCTGTTGATGGTGATGTTGATGTTGATGTTGATGGTGAGGATGAGGATGAGGATGAGGGTGAGGGTGAAGGTCAGGGCGAGGGTGAGGGTGAGGGTGAGGGTGAGGGTGAGGGTGAGGGTGAGGGTGAGGGTGAGGGTGAGGGTGAGGTGAGGGTGAGGATGAGGATGAGGAGGAGGATGGGGATGGGGATGGGGATGGGGATGGGGATGTATACAACATTGTGCCCGGTGATTATTTATATTTTCTATGCATGAAATCCGAACTTTGCAGGCACGGCTCTGGGAAACTTCAAAGCGAGCTGGGAAACTGAAGGCGATTTTGTGAATGTGGCCAACTTGTGAAACTGTTTGAAAATCAGGGTGCTCCATCGACAGAACTGAGCAAACATGTTTTTTGTTTGACATCTGAAAGGTGGTTTTCAAAAATTTTCGCAATGCTGTTTGCTTGGTTTGTGCATGTATCATCAGGCTGTGCAGAATTTTGCTCAACATGGGTAGCCTCCATGATCATCAGTGGGGGTAGAAGGCCCTGGGCCAATTTCCCTGTGCAATGCTGCGGGTGCCTTTGCTTTGGCTGGTGCCAACCCTGGCCTCTGGCAAACATGGCAAAGTCTGGCGGAAGGACCACTAGTTTTCGCTGATGGGCGGTCAGGTTTATCAACCATCCCAATAACGATGTTTTAGTACAAACATTGACACAAATTACGGGTCCAAAGAAAGTGCTGGTGTTTTTGCATGTTTTTGCAGCCTAGTACTCTGAATGCTGCACGCGAAACTTAGCACAAAAAATCAAACGAATTAAGCGTTGCTCTGTGTCTAATTTCTCCTGCAATTTTGAATTGTGTTGCTCTTGGAATCTTCGTGTTGAGATAATGTGTTGTTGTCAAAAACCTGAAGGATGCCATCGAATCTGCAACTGCAGAAGCTGTCAAGCCTCTTGGGCGAGAGTCGGCGTCAATGAGAGTCACCAGTGTTATCTCTATGAATCACCACTAGTTCCCATTAAATTCCCATGTATTTGCCAGTAATATCCAGTGGTCACCTTTGATTCCCACGAAATCCCTATGGACTTGGCATCGCCACCAAGGATGGTTGACAAATTGCAAGGTGCCTGTGGGGTGTCAGCCGTAGACCTGCCGGGATCGGGCCTCTTGGTCGTGAAGGTGACATGTTTCACATGTTGGTTGCGATATGGTTCAATGACCAATAGTGTTTTCAGCATCATTGGTTGATACTACCATCCTAATAATGGGGATTTATGATGGTTTATGGGGATTTATAGGGATTTATAGGGATTTATAGGGATTTATAGGGGATATAATGGATAATACCATCTGGTAATTTAACATAGCTATTGAAAATGGCCATTGAAATAGTGAGTTTTCCCATTAATAGCATGGTGATTTTCCATAGTTATGTTAGTTTACCAGAGGGTACTTTATACTATACTTTCAGATGTTTTTTTTTCACCAGCTCGAATTCGGGGTTCCACGGGTGGGTCGTGAGGTTTTGTGGAACCAGAGAGCATGTCAGCACGCTGCTGGGTGGAGCAGTACACCAACTGCAGCATGAGCTACACCCAAATTTCGTGCCCTGCGGCTTGGTGGCACCGTTTGTTGCTCCAGCTGAAAGCGACGTGACATTTTGACCGAGCCTTGAAGCCTTGGCTCGGCTGGTCTCAGGATGAGTGTCCGATGGTTGCACCAAGCCCAAACTTTCCATGCATTTTTAATTGCGTGACACCAGAGGAGCATCTTGGGGCAAGGGGGAAGGTGTATGTCAAACATAACTTGGGTGCTGTGGCCCGTTTGGAAGGAGTGTGCGGAGTACAGCCCTGGCAACGCTCGACCAGACTTGAACGGTAAGATCTGTGAGCCATGTGATCTACTAGGCTTGGCCAACAGCTTCCAGTCATCGAAGAATTCAGCTTGGAGGTTTGGTTTCCCACATTTGTATGCGCAAAGAATTTCAGAGCCGTGCTGCACTGGCGTATTTTCCAGTTTATTACTTGATATTACTTGTTTTCCTGGAACCGAAAACCGGAGCCCTTTGTTGCCGCTCAGTTTGTCGGGAAATGTGACTTAGCACGTTTGTCATGTCCCTTATGGCTGGTGCAATCTCCTTGAGAGATGCACTTGCCACTTTTGCCTGGTGGAGAAAACTGGCGGAAGGTTGTCGGTACTGCGAGTCCAGAACCAAGTGCAGAACCTGCTTCAAAGGCACGATTGGCGGGCTCTGAAGATGGATCTCTGGGCTATGTTTGGCTTCAATGTCGATTTTTCCTCAGGAAAACCCCCATAAATTGGTAAAAACTAGGTTTGCTGCAGATTTCCATTGGGAAACGGGGAGCCGAACTTCCGCAGGTTTCGTTCTTGAGAATGATCAATGCATCTTTTTTCTGGATTCCAACGGCATTAGTGCTGCTGCTTCACGGCCGCAGAATGCACTTGTGAAATGTTGTGAATTCCCTTTGCAGAAGAATGGCAGGACGGTGCGCTGGTTGGATTTGAACACTGAGGTTATGCAAACCTTGTTGATCATCATTGTTGGCTTGGTGCCTTGCTGACTCTCATGTTTGGCCTGATGCCTTGCAATGTGCAGCCATGTTTTTTTCGTATCTGTTGGCACCAAGCTGTCAAGCACCACTTGAGGTGTTGACCGTCCTTGTTTGCTACCTTCGTGGCAAGAAATCTCCACATGCAGAAGCTCAACTGAAACCATAATTCTATATAATTCTCATTTTTGCAATGCTGTCAGGCCTAGACTCTAGACGTCTCATGACATCATATCATATCCTTCATGGTGCGAGATTGGTCCCCTCCCCTTGGGATTTTAGGAGGAGAACCTTCAGAACATGATCAATGCGCGTCGGCACCGGCGCTTGTGCAAACTGCACCGCTGGGAGACTTTGGTGGCATTGAGCGAGCTTAAAAAGGGCTGGGACCCCCCTTTCTTTGGGCTTCTATATCGGCAATTTACCGATATACAGAAACATCATTGAATATTTAACATCGAACATATCTTCATATGCTTTAATGTAACAATTGCAATGCGATTGATAGACTGTAACAATAAGAATAACATAAGTTCAGATAAATCGTATGACATGATAAGATACCGCATAATATAACAATATAGAAGATCAGATCCACGCACATACAGACACACACATATATATATATATGCATAAATAGTTAGCGATCGAGTTAGCCATCGAACTCTCTCTCTCTCTATATATTGCTGTATATGTATATGTGTATATTATACATATGTTGACATCTCCAGCATTTTCCCAATCGTAGCACCTTTTTCAAAGCCAAGTCGCCGAGGACCGAACGAGCGACAAAGCTCCAAGAATGTGGCGTGATCTCAGTGTTTCATCCCCAGGTTTTACCCCTTGGCCATCCCCAAGTGTATTCAATGAGTTTTCTACAGATATTGCCGCAATATGTGCACCAATATGATGCCAAAATGCCCACACATACAGTTATATAATTATATACATATATGGTGTTGCTTGTTGAAAATTCCTTGCCGGTCGAGGTCAGTATGATGACAGATGACGTTTCAGGCGTTGGAGTTGCATTGTACTACAAGCGAACTCAGCACCTGTTTGTCTGCGCTGTGGTCACCTTTTGCTGCTTCCTGGCTGCAGTGATAGCTGTCACAACTGTCACAACCCGTGCCATGTTTTCACAACTTCCCCGGTTTCAGCGTTGTGCTTTACACTGCCTAAAAGCTGCTGGCCTAAGGTCTATGTATGTTGCTTGGCCACCAGTCATTGCCAGTCACCCGCCCCGCAATTCAGTTTCATTGGCTTGAAATTTGCCGAGGCTCTACAAACCGGCTGGTCTGAGGCAGTACCTTCCAACTGAAGAGGCAGCCAATGCAGCCAAGTGCTGTGGTCCAGCTAGGTACTCCTAGGTCCTAATCCCTTCCCCCCAACATGAAATATTCTGCTGAAAATGCCTTGATTAGGGCCGGGGAACTTAATGGTAAGGGAGATGGGATTATCGCTTGCATTGAATCACTGTGATGGCTGTGCAACACAGACCAAGCGGGGTAAAACTCAGGTTTCACCTGTCCCCTTGCAGGACGAACTGGTCAGCTCCATGCTAGAGGCTTTCAGAGAGTCGTTGACTGCACCAGCTGTGCCATGGCCGCTGTTTGGAGTCCCATTGAATGCCATGATTTCTGGTGGAAGGTTCCCTTTGACTGGTACTGAGGGCATACTGGTACCCATTCCACCATTTTCTGCTAACATTTTCCTGGAAAGTCCCAGGTGCTTTACTCGCCCCTGGTGAACTGTCCATCTTTCACTCCAGAGCTGGAGGCCGGGGTCACCTCCGTTTCTCGTCCGCGGCCCGGGCATCTCGGGCATCTCGGGCATCCCGGGCCAAGCCGCGGCCGCAGGTCGCAACTCTGCAGAAGTTTGCCAGCAACAGCTTCTGGACACTCTGTGCCTCAAACCGTCCTTTTTGCAGCTTACACTTATATCATATTTTTGTATCATATTTTTTACCATCATATTTTTTATCGTATTTTTTTATCATATTTTTTATCATATTTTTTTTATCATATTTTTTCATATATTTTTATAATATTTTTATCGTATCATATATGTCGCAGACTTTGTAGGGTTGACCTGTTTTTTTTCTATGTGCCGAAGGCGTGCGCCCTTGAGGTGTTTTATTCTGGGCCCTTTTCGTGTCCGCCTCAGATCCGACCTGTTTTTTTCTCCAGGTCCGGCATCGCTGCTGACAGCTGTCCAGCTGTCAGCCGTTGCAAGGTCATATCCCTACAGCAAGGCCGAAGTATCTTGGCGTCACGAAAAATCCTGAAGCCACCTGCGCCACCTGTTGATGGGGCAGATGGGGTGATAAACTACCTGGGTTTATTGGGGATTATAAGCGATGATGGGAATATCATGGAATACCTACTAACTAGGATGTCATGGGATGAGAAATCGGATATTTTTCATTGCTCATCCACAGGACTTGTTTCTGTTTGCGGTGCTTTTGAAACTGCTGACCCAAAGACTCGAAAATTGCCGACAAAGGTTGCCTAAATTTCTTTATTGAATTTGACGAGATGAACGTCGACAGCTCTGATTATGCCCTCTTGCTGCCGCTAGCTCAGCGTTGGAGAACATCAAATGCTCAAGGCGTACATCGGTTCATTAGTCGAAATCCTTACTCAGCTGCAAAAAACATGTGGTCACAAAGCAAAACGCTTTTGGGCGATTCTCTGTCTGCGTTTGCTAAGGACAGGCCTACCCAGCAGCATGACACATGAGGTGCAGGGCTAAAAAGATTGAGATTTGATAGATTTTCAATCATTACCAGGGAGGAGACATTCCTATCCAGTTCGCCTTGTTGAAGATTGTTGAAGCCTTTTCAAAAGCGGACATTGATGACAACTTGGGGGGAGCCCCTGTCAGAAACAGCTGAAAGATATGTTGCAAAGACAACTCTCGAAGCACGTGAAGCTGGAAGACAATGCCATACATGGAGTGAGCATTGCATATGATCTATCTGAACCTTGGCTGATCGTGGAGGGTCATAGATCATGCCGGTTTAACGTCGTTGGTTTTGCAGAAGGATTTTGGTGGAAGGACGGGTGATTACTTTGCAATATGCCGATCAAGTATAAAGTTGCCTCTCACTGATCATCAATTTTCTCTGGACCGTAGCTCAAAAACTGAAACCACCGCTGAGGACTTTACCTTGCGATCAGAAATAGAAGATATTCTTGCAAACATCACCCGCAGAAAGGCTCGGGCTGGGGTTTTAAGCAGTGCTCGGCGGGCCTGAAGTCAGACCTGGCTCGACTTGTCTGGATGGTAAAATATCTAAAATCCCAAGGTCTTTGGGGTGGTTAAGATATGTTATATAAGATCTAATGTCTGGTAAACTCGTCATTTTTTGTCCTTGTCGCCTGTGGCCAGGAAGAAGAACTCGGTGCCTTCGATAATCAGGGTGAGGCTGTGAAGATGGATTGGGAGAGACAGAAGGCCATTGACAAAGCAAAGGCCGAAGCGTGGTTCAACGAAGGGAGTCTTATTTGCACCAAGACAGCTGTAGGACGTAGTACTTAATTATGATTTACGGCATCTACCTTTAAAGCATTTTAAATCCACATGCAGTTATGTATCAGATCCTCTCTGTGCCATCTGTCTCCCCACGCATGCACAGGCAATATTACATGTAATATAGTTGCATATAATCTATTTCAGCACGTGGTGAAACCAAGCCATATTATTAGTTGTTTATATATATATATATATACATATTATCTATCATAAGTATAGTCTAGGACTAATCAGTATCTTATTGTATCTTATTGCCATTATTGCTATACTAGCTATCAATAATCACACACACACATATATATATTTATAGATATATCAATCATAGAATTGGATGATGGGAAAATTTACAGGAAAGCCTTTTTCATTTGATGGTAAAAACCATGGTTTCCGGTGTAGTTTTTCCCTTAAACCAATCCAATGAATATAAGGGAAACCATGGTTTCCTGTAAAACCAATGAATATTTTGATGGTAAAAACCATAGTTTCCTGTAGATTTTAATCTATCAGCATTTTCGTTTCTTCATCCATTTCTTCACCGGAGCCAGATATCGCCACCGGGCGCCGAGGAAACTGACCTCGGTGGGTCGCGCCTTCGTGGTTTTTAGCAAGGCCTCGACGCGAGACGAAGTTCTCACGGCCTATAGCACCGCGGAAGCGAAGGGAAGGGGGATGGGGGGCCACCAAAGGGGGGGGATTTTGCAACAAAAATATCGCAGATATATGGGATATATGTATGGGTTGTAACCATGAACTATGAGCTATTTATGTGTAACATCATATCTTATGGGGAAAGACCAAAAGACATCTTAAGGGAGATTTTTGGGAGAATGATTCAGTGATTATTATCTACTTTATTGGGGCGACCATGGGATACCGTCATTGCCAACCTCTGTTGTGGGATCACGTCCGAGGTAAAGATGCGAAAGTGATACAGATGCCAGAGCTGCCAGATGTCGCCGCCTAGCCGATTTATCCAGGAGATCCAGGTAAACTCCATGGTGAACTCCATGGAATTGATGTTGAAAGTTTACAGAACAGGGACAGACTATACCCTCTGGTAAACATACAAAAAGCTATTGAACATGGCCATAGAAATAGTGGATTTACCCATTAAAAATGGTGATTTCCATAGCTATGTTGGTTTACCAGAGGGTAAATCAGAAAAAGCCTCATACTCATTGGTTTCCTGTAGATTTTCCACTAAAGAAATTAGACCAATCCATTGTTAAAGCTGGTACAGCTTCCAGTCATTCAAATCATCTCCAACATCGGGCATTTCATGGGTGCGTGACTAAGGCCTTGGAATCTGTGGACTTTGACCCGGTCTCCGTTTTCTGGGAGAATCAGCAGAATTCCGAGGAGCATGTCATCAGAGCTTCTGTGACGGGCTCTCAGTGGTGGCGCATATAAAACAGCACCATGGCACCATGGTTCGTTCTTTCAGATCGCTCATTTCTGATCCAATGAGGAAGGGAGCACTCAAGGTGGTTCTCTTTTTCCTGACGGCGCGAAGCTTGGGAATGTCATGAAATTGACTGGATTCCAGAGTCCAAATGGCCAGCCTTCCCAGGGCCCAAGGAGTTGACCTCTGTCTAAGGTCAACGCACTGATCATCATTCCTTACAACGACACTTGGGCCGCACGGGGGCTGGTAAACCTGGCCCAAGCTGCATGGATACGTGTATATATATATATATGTATATACCGGTATATATATAATGTTATATGTTATTTGTTTATTTTCCATATCATTTAAATGGATACACCTTGCGATAGTGATACCACTCGACTCTAATCTGTTCAAAATAGGCAGAAAAATCACTAGCCAGATCATACTGATCATCATTGTTGCAACCTTATGCTCATGTCTATTTTCGCCCAACTGCTTCGGGGTTTTACATATTTTTCGTTTCTCATCATTTTTCATTCCACCTTGGATCATGACCACAGAAAAGACCAAATGTAAGAGGGTAAACAAAAACAACCAAACAACAAAAACATTATGCTCCCATCCCATATACATCTCCACACGCACACACCCCCACTCATGTATATGTATGATTATGTATGTATGTGTATATATATATATATACATATGCCCCACATAAAAAACCGTATTCACACATGTATCCCCATCCAAATCCTCATATCAGCCGAATAATCTTTGCTACCGAGGTCTTTGTGGTTGGTGCATTTATGTCCTCTGGTGCCAACCTGGCTGGACCCAGCAACTGGCCACAGATAGATATCGATCGATCCATCCAGCCGTCTATCCATCGATCCACCTATTCATCCATCTATCGATCTGCCTAACATATAATATTGGATATGTGATATGACTTTAGTTCTATCCACACACACACAGATATATATATATATATATACATACATATATATATATATGTATATACATATGTACACACATATTGTGCACATCTTGAGATCTTTGTCAATGATCAACACAGGTCAGACCATGGCTGGCTTGCTGCTGGGAATTGTGAACCAGCAGATCTCTGCCCAGGTTGCGGCCATCAAGTGATGATCGGATCCCAAAGGGGCCCCATTCTGGTGATTCGCAAGGGCCAAATAGATAGAACAGTGACCTGGATTTTTTTACACTATGGGGAAATCATCATCGGCAAAAACCATCCTGGAAATCATCATTGTCTATAATTTTGTGGGGTTCCATGACCCATGTCATATCTGATGGGAAAAGTAGGTTTTAAGTTTCTTAAACCATCTCAATGCCATCAATATCCCACACCATCCCATTTAAAGAAACCGTTTATATCCTACCAGTCCTACCATGTTTGATGGTTGAAAACCTCTTTTCCATGTTACCCTGATAGCTCCGCCGCAGGTGTACAACCAGGCCTACTTTGCAGGCTTCAAGAAGAAGGTGCGGTGGCCATCTCGTGGTAGGGTATAACCAGTTTATTAATGGGATAGTATGGGATATTGATGGCATTGAGATGATTAAACACCTAATTTTCTCCCGTGATTGAACTAGACTCGTCTTGACGTCTTGCCAGGATCGATTTGATACCTTCATCTTTGTCTTGAACACAGTGGTTCAATTCTTCAACACCTGGATTAGCTTGGGCGTTTTGCACTCAGACTCCATGGACAATTCCAGCATTGGTGCGGGATGGTGTAGGGGAATGTCTCAAAAGTGGACACCCCAAAATTGCGATGGCGTATGCTGTATCAAAGTTTGCCATGAACAATTACAATGGACCCACCTTGTAATGTCCACCATTTTGAGACACTCGCAGCTTCGAGTTGAGCTTCATGACATTTGGAGTCTCAGGTTACTGCCTGGGCAGTGATTGGCAAAGAAGGTGGGAGAATGAGTCTCTTCCAACCCCTGGCAGATGCGGGAAACATTGGCTTCTTGCTTAAGCACTGTATTGTTTTGAACTATATCATCTACCCTCTGGTAAACGTTTACATAACTATGGAACATCACCATGTTTCATGGGTAAATCGGTAAATCCACTATTTTTATGGCCATGTTCAATAGCTTCTTGTATGTTTACCAGGCCGGGTATATCTGAAGGACTACCTCTGGAAAGAGGCTTCAGGGTGGTCGACCGAGGATTGGAGGCAGCCATTGGCGATGCTTTCTATGCCATGCATGTGCCAGGCGTGCCCGCCGACCTGGGCGTGTTCGGAAATGGGGATGCGGGATGCACCAGAAACATCCACAATTATTGGGAAATGTGATGATAAACTAAAGGATTTGGGGTATGCCATGGTATACCTTATAGATCCTTATAGATCCTTATAGATCCTTATAGATCCTTATAAATCATATAGATCGTCATGGTCTACACAGCTATACTTTGAAAGACCAAATTACTTCGCAGATTGCTTTGGCGCCAGCGGCCCAGGCGTTCTCTACGTGAATTACATCATGGGCCTTGTGATGGGCGGTGTGGTGCCCTTCACCCAACACACATTGGTTGGATCCTGAGCACCACAAGCCATGTGCACGTCTCAAGTACGTAAATGCTTATATGTTTGATATATATATATATATAATACACATATCTACATATGTGTATTCATATATATATATATATTTATATGCATACACATATAGTGATGTAGAGTAGTGTTAGCCATTTTTTTCCAATCATCTAAAATTTCCCACCTGGTCAGGTGGGCAAGATCATCTATGTGTGGCGCTCCTTGCCAGATTGCCTCCTGTACGCCTTGAAGATCATCCTGCCATGGTCCCCGGACGACTTGGACCGCTATCCCCGCTTCAACGCTGAGAAGGACCTGGAATCGACATGGATTTCGCCTCAAAAAAAACCACAAAAATTGGGGCAAAATGGGAAAGTATACACCTCCATCTTGGATGATTTTGGACAACCCATGTCCCATTTTTTATCATTTTTGTCCTTGAAAAAAAGCGTGGAACAAATCTGTCAGGCCATTGAAGCTCCTGAAATGGGAGTTGCATGGGACTACTCGGCATTTATTGTTCATATGGCCACGGCCTTCCTTGTGACCGCCGTGGTGTCTGCTTCGGTGTGCCGTGACAGCATGGCAGGCTGTGAGGATTCATCATGAATGTCATGATATTTGTGCGCCTACCACATTGAAAAGATTGAACCATGCTGCTCCGATCGCCGAATGGTCATTTGAGGTGGAAGCTCTTTTTGGCATTGACCTGCTGGTGCGTGTGTCCCGTCTTGAAATTCTAGATGAGGTGACGTTTGATGACACTCCAGTGACAGCATTGCAATGGGTTCCTTATGGTTCCCTTGTCGGCCGAGGTTCTTTCATGTTTGGTCTCGCTTTATGCATCTTCGAGTTCAGACTGCTTCGAGCTTCAACGGCCACATGCTGGACACTGCGGCCACTTGGCGCGAAGATGTAGCACCATGCAGCTCAACCAATGAGATCATTATCAGATTATCATTGGATATCATTGGTGATATTCCCACATATAAATATATATAGATATAAAAATAGATATAATTATAAATGTAATTGAATATAAATAATAAAAAAATAGAAATAAATAAATAAATAAATAAATATATATATATATATGTATGTATTATGCCGTTGATATTCTTCAATCTATGTTTTTGTTTGTTGGGCCTTCCAACCATTTGCTGTACGGCTAATATATTTTGTTAAATATCCTATTAACAAACCATTATCCCAGTCATAACAATTTAAACCAATTCATATGGCATTAATCTACCATGAATAAACCATGAATGTCCAATTAATATCCCATTGATATCCCGGCAAGATCCCATCATTATCCTACGATGATCCGATTATCCCATATTCAGACCCAATTTTCTAAACATATATATAATATATATAATATATATATAAAATTATATATTTTAAACCATCAATATCAGATAAATGAACCATTAATATCCCGTTCATACCCCATCTCACCTCCAGTTCATATCCAATGAAGGTTCCATCCATATCCCATCAATACACACAGTTGATATGCCATTGGTATCCGATCAATGTGGCAAACCAAAAAAAGAACCTTGGCATTTATTTGGGGATGGTTTTTGCCACCCATCTACCCTCTGGTAAACATACAAAAAGCTATTGAACATGGCCATTTATAGTGATTTTTCCCATTAAAAATGGTGATTTTCCATAGCTATGTTAAATTACCAGAGGGTAAGATTAGGGATGGTTTATGATTGGATTTACCGCATTAACAAACAACATGTGCACCATCTGAACTTCCATTCCACAGGCCTGGCTTCTCTGGTCTCTGCCCATGGGTTGTCTAGCCGGATCCGCTTTCGTGTGGGCAGTGCGGTGGGGAATCCCAGTTTTTTTTTGCCAGGAGCGGCGGGGGGAAATTCAATGATATTCAACTACTTACAATGGAAGCCAGTTTTGTATGGTTTCACATGCTGTGACATGGTTTAACATGGCTTAATATGATGGTTTAACCCTTTTTTTTGTGGATACCATCCAAAACGAGAAAGAAGCGGTGGTTGGCTAACGGTGAAACATGGTGTTGCAGTGACTGGCCCAATGATGTTCCATGGCGATTGTGAAGTGCTCCAATGTGCCAATGCGGGGAACCACTGGGAAGCCCTATCAACCAGTTGCTCAAAGCGATGCGGTTGATGGATGTTGATGGCCACCCAGGGCACAGATGGTACCAGAGATGCCACTCTACTTTCACATCATCCTGTTGGTGCTAGTGATGATCCTTGCTGGTGCCTTATGGGTGCGATGCTCAGCCATTTGAGAATTCCGTTTCAATCAGAAAAACGGGCAGGTTGAAGGAAAAAATCTCAACCTTTCAGCTGGTTCACTATGGTCCACTATGGTCCACTATGGTTCACTATGGTTCACTATGGTCCACTATGGTCCACTATGGTCCACTATGGTCCACTATGGTCCACTATGGTCCACTATGGTTCACTATGGTCCACTATGGTCCACTATGGTCCACTATGGTCCACTATGGTCCACTATGGTCCACTATGGTCCACTATGGTTCACTATGGTTCACTATGGTCCACTATGGTCCACTATGGTCCACTATGGTCCACTATGGTCCACTATGGTCCACTATGGTTCACTATGGTCCACTATGGTCCACTATGGTCCACTATGGTCCACTATGGTCCACTATGGTCCACTATGGTTCACTATGGTCCACTATGGTCCACTATGGTCCACTATGGTCCACTATGGTCCACTATGGTCCACTATGGTTCACTATGGTCCACTATGGCTCACTATGGTCGACTATGGTCGACTATGGTCCACTATATTCCACTATGGTTCACTATGGTCCACTATGGTCCACTATGGCTCACTATGGTTCACTATAGTCCACTATGGTCCACTATGGTTCACTACGGTTCACTATGGTCCACTATGGTTCACTATGGTTCACTATGGTCCACTATGGTCCACTATGGCTCACTATGGTTCACTATGGTCGACTATGGTCCACTATGGCTCACTATGGTCCACTATGGCTCACTATGGTTCACTATGGTCGACTATAGTCCACTATGGCTCACTATGGTCCACTATGGTTCACTATGGTTCACTATGGTCCACTATGGTTCACTATGGTTCACTATGGTCCACTATGGTCCACTATGGCTCACTATGGTTCACTATGGTCCACTATGGTCCACTATGGCTCACTATGGTCCACTATGGTTCACTATGGTTCACTAGTGTCCACTATGGTTCACTATGGTTCACTATGGTCACTATGGTCCACTATGGTTCACTATGGTCACTATGGTTCACTATGGTTCACTATGGGTCACTATGGTCCACTATGGTCCACTATGGCTCACTATGGTCCACTATGGTTCACTATGGTTCACTATGGTTCACTATGGTTCACTATGGTCCACTATGGTCCACTATGGCTCACTATGGTTCACTATGGTCGACTATGGTCCACTATGGCTCACTATGGTCCACTATGGTTCACTATGGTTCACTATGGTTCACTATGGTTCACTATGGTCCACTATGGTCCACTATGGCTCACTATGGTTCACTATGGTTCACTATGGTTCACTATGGTTCACTATGGTTCACTATGGTCCACTATGGTCCACTATGGCTCACTATGGTTCACTATGGTCGACTATGGTCCACTATGGCTCACTATGGTCCACTATGGTCCACTATGGCTCACTATGGTCCACTATGGTCCACTATGGCTCACTATGGTCCACTATGGTCCACTATGGTTCACTATGGTTCACTATGGCTCACTATGGTTCACTATGGTCCACTATGGTCCACTATGGTCCACTATGGCTCACTATGGTCCACTATGGTTCACTATGGTTCACTATGGTTCACTATGGTTCACTATGGTCCACTATGGTCCACTATGGCTCACTATGGTCCACTATGGTTCACTATGGTTCACTATGGTTCACTATGGTTCACTATGGTCCACTATGGTCCACTATGGCTCACTATGGTTCACTATGGTTCACTATGGTTCACTATGGTTCACTATGGTCCACTATGGTCCACTATGGTCCACTATGGCTCACTATGGTTCACTATGGTCGACTATGGTCCACTATGGCTCACTATGGTCCACTATGGTCCACTATGGCTCACTATGGTCCACTATGGTCCACTATGGCTCACTATGGTCACTATGGTGACTATGGTCCACTATGGCTCACTATGGTCCACTATGGTCCACATGGTTCACTATGGTTCACTATGGTATGGTACACTATGGCTCACTATGGTCACAGGTCACTACTATGGTCCACTATGGGTCACTATGGCCCACTATGGTCCACTACTCACGATGACGATGGTCACTATGGTCCCACTATGGCTCAACTATGGTCCACTATGGCTCACTATGGTCCACTATGGTCCACTATGGCTCACTATGGTCACTATGGTCCACTATGGTCACTATGGTTCACTATGGCTCACTATGGTCCACTATGGTCCACTATGGTCCACTATGGTCCACTATGGCTCACTATGGTCCACTATGGTTCACTATGGTTCACTATGGTTCACTATGGTGGTCCACTATGGTCCACTATGGTCCACTATGGCCACTATGGTCCACTATGGTTCACTATGGTTCACTATGGTTCACTATGGTCACTATGGTCCACTATGGTCCACTATGGCCACTATGGTTCACTATGGCTCACTATGGTTCACTATGGTCGACTATGGTCCACTATGGTCCACTATGGCTCACTATGGTTCACTATGGTCGACTATGGTCCACTATGGTCCACTATGGCTCACTATGGTTCACTATGGTCGACTATGGTCCACTATGGTCCACTATGGCTCACTATGGTTCACTATGGTCGACTATGGTCCACTATGGTCCACTATGGCTCACTATGGTTCACTATGGTCGACTACATGTTGTTCATCGGCTTTTAGACCCCCCCGATGTTTCGTGCTGTCATTAGGTGCTGTCGTACTACCTCGTCGTCCGTCCGGATCGGCGCTGTGATGCTCGGGCATCACAAAGCGAGACGGTGGAGGAGGTGATGCAACACCAGGTCTTCTCTTGGTACAATTGCAGCTGGGCTGGATGATTTTGCATGATTTTGCCATCAGAAACCTCCACTTAGAATTTTTTTTGCCATCAGAAACCTCCACTTAGAATTCTTAGAATCACTAAACTACTAAAGTAAAAAAGAGGAAATCACTAGAGGAAGATAATGCCACACCGGGGTTGACACGCTTGAACCCTGGAGGTGAAACATGAGGTTGTGCGACCCCGAAAAATGACTGAAAGGATTTGGGCAGTGAGAGTGTGCCGATCCATATGTCAGGCAATCCGGCGTACGTTCTCAAGCAAGCATACTTGAAGGCGGTGCACACTAATGTTGCAAACTTATCAAGTAGTTAACTTATCAGTTGGCTTCCCCCGTTTTCGGGTTTGCGGATGGTGCCAGTTCATTTCACTCAGGGTTTCTGAGCTTGACAGGATCACGTTCCTGAATCTCATTTGGTTTCTGATAGCGAGGCAGGGAAATGAGTGAAACGCGAACGATGAAAAAACGTGGACACACAGCTGACACCAGACTCATTCCAAGTTCTCCTGTGAGGCTATCCTGTACCGTCGAGGGAAGGAATATCTCTTCATTCCTGGAGACAAACAGCACAAGATCACAGAGAGGTCTGAGCCCAAGGTTTGATGCACAGAAAACAGCTTTGCCGCCTTGATTTCAGCTTGCCATGCGGTCGTAGTGTGCCTAAGGTTCCAAGATATGTGGGAGTTTGAGACGCACTTGGAGTGGCTCTTTGAACAGCTGGGGTTGCTTGTATCAAAGTCTGGCATTTCAAGTGAGTCAAGCAGTGCCGGGCAGTGCCTTTTCCGTTTTGTCGTTGTGATGTCGCAGTGTTTCACGGATGCACATAGATGCACAAACGCTTCGAGGAATATCACAGTCTCACGAAGTGCTTCAAGGAGAGACCTGGAGAAGGGCCCCCAGGAAGATAAGAAGTATGCTCCCTTGCGGACTGAAGAAGCGTAGTTGGGTTCGCTGTTTTGGTGAGTGACTTGATGATCATGATGTGACGTGTACATTACTAGCAATTTTTTCAGAGGCCCCCGCCAAAGAGCGGCAGCCCGCGCCGTCTTTCATGGTAAGAAGTATGCTCCCTTGCGGACTGAAGAAGCGTAGTTGGGTTCGCTGTTTTGGTGAGTGACTTGATGATCATGATGTGACGTGTACATTACTAGCAATTTTTTCAGAGGCCCCCGCCAAAGAGCGGCAGCCCGCGCCGTCTTTCATGGTCTTCCCTTTTGCCCCATCTTTCTGTGTTGTTTGTGTTGAGCTGATCTTCGACAGATCTTGGTACCCTGGTCTTCATTGGTTTGGCATGTGTCATACTCATTCATCCTCAACAACTTCCGAGTTTCCTCCCGAGCAGCCATGGTTGTAGAAGCATGCTCCAGTAGCTGTGGAACGATGTGCGTTGCCGTGCAAAGGGTAGCAGATCTGTTGGCTTTGCGGATCTTGTTCTGGCGAGTGGTAATTTTTGAGGCCTCATTGGCCAACTGCGAACGGTCAGTACTTTGTTGGGTCTTGGCTCAAGGAGTTCTGCAGCTGCTGGACTCCCTCCACAAAGGAAGAGCTAAAGAGAACTAACATGCAAAACGCGTCCAAAAGCCAAGGGTACAGCCTTCGGAGTTCTTCCAATCACCAGCTCATGCAGATCACTTGCTTCTATAGGACCGGTTTTCCGTTCTGTTGGAGTTGAAGTAATTTCAAAGTCACAAACTTAAAAATGCCAGCCAGCTATTGAAGCATTGTTCTTGTTTTCCATTGTTTTCCCTATGTCGCAATCTGTCGCTGAATGGCCCAACTGGAGGCCGGGCACCTTGCACCAGGCCGCCTGCAGGTCTTAGTGCACGGCGTCAGCGGAAACCTCTGCAGTTTGCCGGCGGAACCGTCCTGGTCCATACGCGATGTGCGGGAGGCGCGTTGCAGTTCAGTGTCAGTGTAGCTAGATTGGCACTTTCTAATCATTAAAAAAAAGAAATGTGAGCTGGTGAGTAGATATTCCTAGGGGAATAAACATCCCATAAGATCGATTCATGAAAAATGGCTCGAACAACAATGCAAAAACTGAGAGGCTGACACACTTTTAGAGTCACAGAAGGCTACATGCGTCGCATGAGTCATGAGTCGCATGCTGACTCAACGCCTTGTCAACCAGCGGTTTCTCGAGCTCTTCACAGCAAGGCCATCTGCGAGGCCACGGCAATTCCTCCAAGCCAGCAGCGCCTGCTGATGGGATGTGAAGCATTGAATGTTCCTCACATGCAGCTGGCGCCCAGTACATCACGGCATATCGTGGCCATAACGGTGATGAAGTTGTGATGTGGAGCTGGGGAAAAAACACGGAAAAAGATGGAGAAACATTCGCAAGCGGCACATCAGTCCTGTGAAATCTTGTGAAGCCTCGAAATATTGAAATGTTGAAAGAAAGCTGAGGACGGCATTCAGCTTGATTCCCTATGTGTCGACAGTGATGAGTTGTCTTTGACATTGGTGCGCCGAAGTCTGGACCAGGCCGTGCATGGCCAGTTGACTTGACCCAATGGCGCCATCAGATTTCTGCCTGACCCACCAGGCAAAGTTGTTGGAGGCGGTAGCCTCTGGCGAAAAGTTGGCAGCTCTTCTGGAAGCGCCAGAGGCGCGAAGTGACAAAGTGGCGGCCTTAGGTCTGCCAGCGAGCGCACGTTTGCTAAAGGGGCACCCTGGGGGAACACCGAAAATCTGGCATACCCAAAGTATCCCAAAGTCATGGCAAATTTTTGGTCGTAGGGAAGATGATTCATCACTGGTGCCCTATTCTCAGACAAAGGCATTTTGATGCATTCTTTTGCCCAGGAAGTGATGATGGCAGTGGTGCAGAAAGACGGACTACTGCTGCGCTTTGCCCAGGACAGCTTGAAGGACTGCGTTGAGCATGCCATGCTAAGCTGCAAGCAGCAACCACCGATTCTAGCTGCTGGAAAGCTGGATGCCACAGGCTGATGAGGACGTTGTCTTTGAGGCAGTGAGACAGAATCGGGTGGCTATGCGCTTTGCAGCGGAATCTCTGAGGCATGTTTTGCGTCTCCCACACTGCTGCCGAAGTGTGTTTGTGGAAGCTGCCGCAGACACTGTGCCCGGAGTGTCACAGATAGACTCTGGCACGTGGTAGATTCGGTAGATGTTCGGTGCTCCCCAAGGACCCAGACTCCCCATGCCATCCATGCCGTTGTCCGCAGGGCAGAGATGACATTTGTGGCTCGTGTGGTGCGACAGCAGGGCCAAGCGCTGCAATTTGCCTCGGAACAGCTTCGCCGGGATCCCGGGCTGGTGAGGCTGGCTGCAGAGGCCGACTTCCTGGCCCTGAAATTTGCAGATCCAGTCTTGCTGGCGGACAAACATTTCATGCGCCGCGGCATTTTTCGCAGAAACGTGGAGAAACGTGGGGGTTGGGATAGAAAGCCATCAATGCTTGGTGGTCTCAGTGGCTTTTTTCACACTTTTCCATGCAGTTTTTTGGGATGGATGGCTCCACCACCAGCCAGATCCCAGGGGTGGGTCCAACGTGTTGCGACGAGGCGAGAGATTCTGCAGAGTCGGCATGGTTGCCACGCGCTGCAGTTTGCGGCCCCTGCGCTGCAGCGAGACAAAGAGCTTCAAGCTCTTCAGCGAGCTGGTGCAAAGCACTGGCAGCACAGCACTATGCCTTTGCCAGACCAGAAAAAAGGTGATGCGCACCGCTGCAGATTCGGATGCTGTCACATGGAATGCTTGCAATGTTGATTGGTAAACCATGGTAAACTCTGCACCCCAAAGCGGAGCCCCAAAAAAGGTGGTAGATGGTGGTAGAATCATTCGCCAATTAGTTGGAGGTGCATCATTGCAGGCCAGCATGGAAGGAGTTGCAAATGCATCGGCTTGGCTAGAGGAAGAGGCTGCGGACATGGATGGGAAACAAGGCGCCCATAACATGGGGTGGTTTGTACTATTCGTGATGTACAAGATCAGTATGACTTGACCGTATGACCCATACAACACTATAGATATCCAATGTATAACCAGTATAGTGTAGTGTATCTCAACCCCCAACAAGATAGAAACGTAGTTTCATCACTCTCTGAGTAGGACTTCACTATGTTTTTTTGATGTTTTTTTTTGGTTCACCATGGTTCACCATGATGTACAATGGCTACAATGTGAGGCCCCCCAGTTATAAGTTGGTCTAGATTCGCCCCAGTAACTATAGTTATAAGTACCATAAACATCCATAAACCATAGTTATTGGATTTATGTGAACCCCAACTTAGCTATCCAACGGGGGCCTCACATTGTAGCAATGTACAGCAACCATCCATTTTTCCGTGTGTGCTGCAGGTGGACCATTTCTGCCCACCTTTGCCGCTGGCTGCCAGACATCCTGGGATGTCAAAAGCAGAGAGGCGGGACATGGCGACACACCTGGGCTGGGCCAACTGGTACTTGAGAAAACCCAATAGCAAACTACCAGATTTTCGTAAAAACTGGGTTTTAAATGGTTTTAATACCTTAAAAATGATAAAGTTGTGTGGTACCACTTGGATCTCTGGCAATTTACGAGGCTCTGATGATGGTTTAAGGACAAACAATGGCCATGCTCTGAGGCAACACCGTGTGACGGTGCTTCATGACTACCTGCACTCCCAGCCAGAGCAGTGCAAAGTGCTTCGTTTTCAGGCTGCGCAGCTATGATCTATTCATATATATATATCTGGGCATATATTTTTGAGGCTGAAGTATATATTGTCACATATTATCACCATATTTGATATCTATTTTATAACCGTAATATGAAACCCATAGGTATCATCTCCAGCGATGTTCCTGCCACTTCCATCCGAAAATGGCCTTTCAGCGAAGGTGGCACAAGCAGTGAAGGCAGCCGTGGAGGCGGAGAAGACCTTGTACGACTCAGCTTACAGGACGCTGGGGGGAACCCGAAAAAAAGACGGGTCATCTAGAGCTTGATCCCAGGCCAAGCACCAATTTGGAAATAAAGAACATGGGCAACCCCAAAGATGGAGAATACTCGTAATCATTTGCGCCCCATTTGGCCCGCATTGACGTCGGGTCAAGATTTTGAGGAGTGGCCTGGCTGCCAATGCTGCGATGCAGGCGTGTTTCGATGGGAAAAAACACAGTTTTCCTAACTGGTTATTTAACATTGCTATGAAAGTCATGATCCAGTTATCATCCTTTATGGATGATAAACATTATGATTTACCTCTTCAAAATGCTGATTTTCCATAGCTACGTTGAATCACCAGAGGGTATAAGTGTATAAGTTGGTTTAAAACCCACCCAACATCACCCAACCGTAGATATATGATGATATATGAGCAGTAACTCTCGGTGAAACTGACGATTGGACATCAGGATTTACATTTCCCCAAAGATGGGGCATTTTTATACATTTTTCCAGTGTAAATTGGGAGATTAATTAGCCAGTTGATGATTTTAAGGATTTCTTTGCCCCATTTGAGCCTTGGGATGGTCTCCAAAGAGTTTGTTTAGTGACTAGTATTTTTTGCATAGCTTGAAGCCGCCAATCAGATTTTTTAAATAGACATACACAGTCATCATACCCATATGCTCCATGTACAGTATATTTACCTACATTTGGGCCATTTGCGGGGTAAATGTAGGTAAATATTCCATACATGGAGCATATGGGATGCACAGATGTATGGCTCAATGGCAGAGAAACAGTTGCAATCCAACTTTGTGGGGCGTAGTGCCAGCCCTCCAGGCCGCCCTGAATCCCGCGCTGGCCTTTCCACCGTATCAAGGCAGCAGTTCCGCAGCTCCCCGCGTCCCATTTGTTGCAGTCTCATCAGTCTCCTGGGGGAGCCTACTTCCAGATTTTGTGCAAATCCCCGAATCACCTACCGGGACCTACCGTAAATTTCATATAATTTCATGATTCATCACAGTTTGATTTATGGTTTGACTTGGTATGTTCGACACCAGCTAGCATCTCCGACCAGACCTAGTAAGATTCTGCAACATGGAAGTGCACGCAGCTGGATTTTCTCAAATGCTCAGCTTGCCGAGCAAGGCATGCGGATTTCAGGGGCAAAGCCAACTCCTTGGATGGACTTATACAGTCCGGCCATTCTGATGCCCCTAAGTTTATTTCCGGAAAGCACAGTATTGGAAATGTTAGGGCGCCGGAGTGAAGCCATTTGAACCCCTCTCTCGGGATTCTCGGGCCGCAGGTGAGCCATTTGAAGCGGCGGCCGATCACGTCAGCACCCAGCTCAGCACTCCGTGAACCACGGCAGTCATGGGATTTCCCAGTCGTTCCAGCGAGGCACAAAGGATGTTGAGAGTGGTGCGGAGAAAGGTCTCCCGGTCTGCCATCTCACTTGCCATCATCTAGGGGGCAAGAGCCTTGGAAGCACTGGGGAAAGACATGGAAAGACATAGGACCATAGGAAGCCACAGTTCTGAGATTCATGGATAGTCCTTCTGCAAATGAAACGAACTCCTGCAATGAAGCATCCTGTGGTTTGATGTTGGCCAGCTGTGTTATTCAGGAGCAGTGATGCGGTGTCGTGGCCCTGGACTGAGAAATCTGAAGCATCAGCCTTTCTGATGCTTTGAGACCGCTGCCACCAGGGAAAAACGAGCGTCAAACGTCTCCTGGATAAAGCCATCAAGAGTTGGATGAGACCAAACCCCATTGATTCTGCGATAGTCACCTTATGTATCATTTACATCATGTCACATCAAACCATTACTATTAATGGATAATCAGATCATGGCCATCACATCATTGATCTGATTATCATTAATGGTAATGGTAATGTTAATGGTTAATGGATAATCAGATCATTAATGGATAATCAGATCATTACCATGACCAAACTCCATTGATTCTGGGGTTGCATAGCCACAGTCCTCCTATGGGTTTTTCCCACGCAGCCGCGACGCAGCCGATCAGATCAGGGCCCCGCACAGCATCCGTTGCCCAACGTCGGTCGAAAGCCCATGGACGCTTCACCAAGGAGCACCAGCAGTGACGAGGAGCAACTGAGCTGCGCAGAGATCCAGAGATGATCTGAAAGCCTCCAACAATGGTGGGTATATTATGGACATTTATGGACATTTATGGATGGCAACACCCCCAAAATGGCAATCTTAGATGATCTTAGATGTGTAGTTATTTTGGGTTGTATCACTTTGACGGGTTGAAGATTCAACGAAAAGACGCTCAAGAGCACCATTGAGGCCACAACGCTGCACCCCGGCCCGGAGCCACATCATGTTCTATGTCCTCGCAGCACGGCGGCACCAAGTGACGCATGTGAAGCTATCGTGGGCGGGGCTGTGATGGGCAGCACACGGCCAGGCAACCATTGCGGCCGTGGTTCTGTATGTGGTTGGCATCATGCCCAACAAAGCTACAGAGGCACAGATGTCAGATGGAACGGAGACATGAACTATATATATGTCTTACTAGTCTGAAAACAGGATGGGGTACATCACTGTACATCCAGGAATCCTCATTTTCCCAGGTTTTCGCTATTAAAGTTGCCGGATTTTGGTGGGCATCATATTCCCCATGCCACCAGTTTTTTGTTGGCAGCTTTTTCCGCCAGGCACCGGCCCCTGATGTGGTTCAGAGGCCATTGGCTCATGCTGAAATAGAGATGCAGCTGCCTCAGATCCCCATTCAGATGATCTACCGGTGATCAAACAGTTCCATGATTTGCTTGAAAACCCATCATATAGTTCCGGCGATGGAGAGAGAGTTCCATGATTTTCCCAGCTATATACTAATATATATATATATAATATACTAATATATATATATACTAATATATATATATTATAACATATATATACTAGAAACATCTATAAACCTCCATATTTAGGGGATTTTCCAGCCAGCCACATTTGATGACACCAGAGGGTACATAGATGATAGTTTTGGTCCGTTTCCCATTTTCCCACAGCCAGAGGTCTAGTAGGTTGATCAAAAAGTGATCGGAGGAGATCGGAACAGGCTGATGCTCAGGTCGGACGTTGCCGCGCTTTCAACCCATGCACCACAGCCAGAGGACTTGCTCAGTGATGTGGGAGATGAGTAATGCAGGAGTAGTGGTGCACTTTGTGCGTGCCTCACGTTGCTTTGTCTCTGGTGTTGGCTTAAGGGTCCTGGACCTTGACAATTGTCCATACGGTTCCCTGACAAGGATGCCAGCACATTCTCTGAAGTTGTGATCACACCGTGGCATTTGATCACAGTTTATCCTCTAGCACTTCCAATCATCATCATCGAACCTAAAGCAGCAGCGAATTCTCAAATTCACAACCTGCCAACACAGGCGACACACTTCAACATCCCCGGCGCCCCATCTCCGGCCTCTCCGGAGACCCTTTTTTTCGCTTCGCCATGGACGGGGAACAGTTATCAGCGGTGACCATGGAGTGGAAGGTGCTGAAGGAACGCTTCTTCGCAGGGGAGCCGGTGGATCCCGTCTTTGAAGGGATCGTGAAGGATTTCATCGCCTTCGATGTCACCTTGCAGGATATCTTCAAAAAGGTGGAGATCTTCATGAAAGGCGAGTCGTCACAGCTCCAAAGATGGCCTTTGGTAATTTTAGACTAAGTATGGAACATGGTCCATTTTATAGATATGTGATATACCGTATATACCCTATATCAAGATTATCAAGAATGGTGATTTTCCATAGCTATGTTCAAGTACTGGAGGGCTTTTTTTTGTTCCAAGCAACATCTCTGGGGCCTCAGCTTGTCCGATTGCCAGGCGTTGACAGCCTTGCTGAAGGCTTGGTGGTTTTGGCCGAAAGTACCACCACTGGACTTTCGGCTGTGGACGATCAGCTTATCAAAGCAGATTCTTGGTGTCCATTGGGTCCATGGCTTTGGTGGGACAAACAGGAGGCTTTGAACATCAAAAATCATCAACGATTGGGATTTCCCGTGGTCTTTTTCCCCCAAAAAAAAGAATTTCGGAATGGATTGGCGGAAAAATTGGAGAATCGACCCTCCCAGGACCCTCCCATCAACAATTTCCTTTCACAAAAGATTCTCCCCAAAGTCCATTTTTCGAGGGGTCCTTGCCGAGATGAGGGCACAGAGTTGGACACCTGGATTTCGGAACAGCTCATCTTTAGCCTCCGGTCATGAGTCAAACATGGAAACTGCTGGAAAATCCTCCATTGAGCTCGATGATTTTCCTAGGAACTGTCTATTTTTGGGGATTTCCTAGCAGCTCGCCAATGGAGCCGATGTTTCCTAAGCCACAGGGATACCCCCGAATCATCCAAGTCATGGATGACCATGACTTAGTATAGCTTCACCTAATGTGACTTGGGATGTTTTGGAGATCCCCCATGACCTAAGATACTTAAGAAAGCACCTAGCCATGACCCGGGTCGGGCCCCAGGATTGCTGCAAGATGAAGGAAGCCACCAACGCCATCACTCGCGGCGACGCTCCTCATAGTGCCATTGCCAAGCTTCGAAGAGATATGGACTTCAACATTATGAATCCTCTGAGGCAGGGGTTTGGTTAAACCAATGGTACCCTCCAAAATGCGGAAATGGAAAAAAAACATCATTGAGTAAGAGGTTGTTTAAATGTTAAATACTCCATTGATAGGGGATGTTTGATTACCGGAGGGTAAATGCTATTAGTAAATGTTGTTAGTCAATGTTAGTAGTCAATGTTATTTGATGTTATCTATAAATGTCTTCAACATCCCATGAGCCATGGAGACTTTTTAAGGCAATCACTTTCACCTAATGTCGCATGAAAATGCATGAAATGTCATGGCCATTTTCAGACAATTCAACCTGCAGTGGATGCTTGTTGGAGATGGATCCCTTCGAAAAAAATGCGGGGCTTTTGTTGGGACTTGAATAGGAACAGCCAGCTCGCCGCCAGCTCGCCGCCATAGGTGCCATATGGTCAACAATCGAAACATGAAGTCCTACCTGGACAAACGCCGCCGCCGACTTCTGGAGTACAACATCGCCAAACGCGAGATGGAAGACTGCGTCAAGAAGAATCTGCACCAAACGGACCGCAAGTCTTTTGGCGATTTTTGGCGATTGATTTGTTGTTCCGGTTTCCCATGGCCTAATCCGAGTTAATCCAGCAGAAATAGACCAATGATAAACATAGGACATCTACTGGGACTATGTTCCTTTTTTTCGGTCTTGGGGGGTTGGAGGAAAGGCAACATCCAGGTATTTGGCTGCCCAGTCTCAGCTGGAATCGGCGAAACTGGCATTTCACGAGGTTGACAAGCACATTTTTGAATGGTCCCTGGGCATGCAATGGCTTTCTCAAGTTTGTTCCAGCCCACTTGAGCCGACAGCAAAAACATGCAAAAAATGCTGGATGGATCAAAGGAAAGTGATGCTAGATCAACTACGCTGATTCATGCACCGAATTTTGCCAGAGATGTGACCCATTGTTCACTTTCATTCATCTGCAAGCTCATTGGTCACAAAAAACACCTCCCTTAACACGTCCCGTTCACGCCGTTCACGTCGTTCCAGCTGTCCAGGTTGTACATCCTGGAGGAATACAAAGGCGACATCCTGGACAGCTGCCTCCAAACCTTGAAGTACCTGCAGTACGAATTCTTCGCGACCTCGGCCCACTCCATCTCAGGTGTGCTGCCTGCGCGCATGGAGTTTCGACCCATGGTAGAGATGACCCCAGAGCACTTGGAAGCACAAGTGGAACCTGGGATTTGCTGATGAAATGGAGAAAAAAGCCCATCTATCTGATACTATCTGATACTATCTGCTACTATCTGATACTATCTGATACTATCTGATACTATCTGATACTATCTGATACTATCTGATACTATCTGATACTATCTGATACTATCTGATACTATCTGATACTATCTGATACTGTCTGTCTGTCTGTCTGTCTGTCTATCTATCTATCTATCTATCTATCTAATATTATCTTAATCTAATCTAATCTAATTTAATTTGATCTAAACTAATCTAATCTTAATCTTAATCTTAATCTAATCTAATCTATCTAATCTAATCTAATCTCATCTGATCCTATCCTATCCTATCCTATCCTATCCTATCTATCTAATCAAATATTTTGATATATTTTGTGTCTATCTGTCTATCTGTCTGTCTGTCATGATCTGTCTCTCTTCCTCTCTCTCTCTCTCTCTCGCTCTCTCTTTCTCTTTCTCTCTATTTCTTTATCGATGGATTGATCTACCTATCTGCACGCCAACTTTCCCGTTGGTCAATCCAAGGAAATGGCCCTGCAGGAAGCGGAAGAGAACCCAGATGAGGAAGTTGTCACGGACTTCTCGGCACGGCTCATTGAGAAATTGGCCAAGGACAACAAGAATCCTGGATTTGCCATTAGTGAAACCACTAGAAGGTGAATCCCAATAGAAGTGGTGAATCTCTTGGGGAATCCATCAGATTTACCATTGGATTTGCCCAGTGGCTGTTTTCTTCGATTTTTTTTAAATTTGCCATTGGTTTATCAGTTTATCCAGTAGAAATGAGGGAATTTCTAGGGTCTCTGCTTGATCCAAGGAACAAACCGGGAGAAGGTTTGGACTCAGCGGCTGGTGATGGACCGGCGCTGCCGGTTGATCCTTTGTCCCTGTCTTCTCTGCTGTCCCAAGGCTTCGATGAAGGCCCGGCGAGACAAGCGCTCTGAAAGTTTAAGAACGATACGCAGGCGGCCTTGGATTTCCTGATTGGAGGAGGGCACGCTGAAGAGGAGCAAGAAGAGGCGGTACGCATGCCCACCACCGTGCGTCGGGTTCAGAGGTTGAAAGAGCGGCGCCGAGCACAGCAGGCGCGACGCAAGGAAGAGGAGGAACGGCGACAAAAGGATCTCGCGCGAGAAGAAACGCCTCCGAAAGAACCGCAGGAATCGCCCAAGACATCGCCAAAAGCAGCACCGAAACCAGCTGTGGATCTTCTTGACTTCGAAGGAGAGAAGAAAAACCCAGCTGCCGCTTCGAGCGGTAGCGATTTGTTGGATCTCATGGCACCAGGTCCAGGTCCTTCAAATCGCAGTGGCAACGACTTGTTGGACCTGGCAGGGTTCGATGAGCCGCCGCCACCCACAGATTTCTCCAAACAGATTGAGACTTTGCCGTTGCCTGAGCAGATTACCTTGGACCTCTCCAAGTGTGAGAAGGGTCCCATTGGCCCGGGCGATCTAGGAGGCTACGGCTGAATTTGTGGGGCTTCTACCTGCAGAAGTTGTCTAACAAGGATATGAATCTTCCATACTATTCCCTGAAATACTCAAGGCATGTTCCACTCCTTGGATTCTTGTGCACTATTTTACTACTATTATTGTTCAACAAAAATATCCTGGTAGTCAAACATGGCCCTGGACAACCTCCCATTTAGGTCAATGATGTCCCCATTTGAGGATTTCCCAGAAAGGGCGATGTTTGACTACCAGGTAAATCCACTAATTTCATCTAATATCCTAGTATTATCCTAGTATTATCCCATGATCACCCCTATTGAACCATATAAATCCATATAAGACCATATCAAACTAGCATTGAACCTGATAGCCATGTTGTTGAATCTGATGTGTCTTGCTTGACACTTCTCGGGTTTACCCCCTTGGCGGCACAATTCGGGGGCACGGGCACCGGGGGCGCCGTTGAAAACTGGCCACCTGCCGACGACCCAATGACGGCCTTTTCGGCCAATCAGTTGACATGTTGGAAAAGGTGGCCCGACATGGTACCCTCTGGTAAACTAACATAGCTATGGAAAATCACCATTTTTCATGGGAAAATCCACTAGACTGTAAATGGTCATTTTCAATAGCTATGTTAAATTACCAGAGGGTACATGGAATGTGAATTGATAGGACCCCCCTGGCTGATGGTACCTCTATTCCGGTACCTCTATTCCCATGATCTTCGAGGGGGTGAGGTAGCATGGGGTCCGCATGGGGCCCAGGATTGAGGACCGGGTGCCAGGTTTAGGGAGATCCTCAATGAATAATCGTCATGGATGATTATCCGGGGTTGACATTGGTTAATCGTTGTAAGCTCAACTGGCCATGTCTCATAGACAAATTATCTACACATGGATCATGTTCTATATGAATCTATGATCTATGTCAGTTTTCTGGAGGGAAATAAACACTTGCATCCAGACAGTCACAGTTTTCATCAGCGCCCGGCCGAGCAGTGGTTGCATCACTGGAGGAGAAGTCACCGTTCTTCAAAATGTTACCAGAGAAGGTGCAAGATTGGTACTTCGAAGAGCCGCTTGGAGGATACTGGCGGCGCAAAAGAGGTGTGTTGACGGGATTGGGATGGATGGCCCCTCTCATTTATGTTTTTTTTGATCCGGAAAATGATGATTAACCAATGGATGGCATGGGGTACCCAATTTCTGGACGAACCCATATCTTTAACTCGGTGATTCTAGGCTCGCAATTCAAGTCTACGCTTTGTTGGCTTCAGCTGGGGTTTCAGCAGTGATGTCTTGCAACAAGTCTGACGGGGGTGTGTTTTCTAAGGAAGCGCAATCTCAAGCAGTTCCTTGGACGCCATTTCTGGGTAAGTTTAGGCCTCCCTCTAGCTGCCCTTGTTTGCACTTGCATTCCGAAAGTGTGGTGCAGCAGCCACTGATGACTTAGCCATTTTGCAACTGCGACCTGCCAAGGCAGATGCATAAGACGCAGGTAACGTACTACAAGAGTCCACATCACTTGGTGCACACCAACGCCGATCAGTTCCTCAAGTCACAGCCCGAGTTGCAAGCGCAGCAAGCCGCCTCAAGTGCCTCAAGTGCCTCGAGTGCCTCAAGTGCCTCGAGTGCCTCGAGTGACCCCCTTCCACCACTGGAGACAGCAGACTAAGATGCGGAGCATTGCGGAGCGCGAATCGGTGCTAGATTTCAAGAGACTGGGCTCTGAAGTAGAGACCCAGCCGAATTCAGCGGTGCGTCACTTGTTGCGCAAAACTTAGCCCACAGGTGGCGAAGTTATTTGCGACTTGCTTGGGGCCGAAGTGATGCCAGATATGCCAGTGGTTACCTAAGCCACATAAACATTATAACTCTCACAGCATCACCATGAAACTGGCCTCTGTGGCCTGTGGCCTCTGTTAAGAATCCTTCAGGCGATCGGATATGATCAGATTGTGCCCAAAGCTTGTCCTCCCTTGTGTTATTTTGTGCCCGTAGGCTGCTCACGTGTCTTGCTGTGTCTCGACTTACAAAAAGCCGCCTGACATCTTGCCATCGAGCTATAGATGCCAGAACTGCCACCAAGCATGCTGCTGAGATCTGAGTGATTTTGGATGACGGGAGACTGGAAGAAGCTCATCAGGTAAACATGATTAAACATGATTAAACATGGCAAACTCACCAGCCAATCATCAAATCTATTCAAATCCGATGAAACAAGCGCATGTTCGGGGGGCACATTAGAGAAATCTGTACAGCTTGTACCTTGAATTTTCGTACCAAATTCGTACGAGTTCTTTCAAAGTTCTTTGCCTGTGGACACAGATGTATTGCATGGCACTGTGTGGACTTGGTCACCAACAGGCCCTTGCTCTAGACGACTGGCAAGGGTGTGGCCCATGGCCTGTGATGACAGTGGAGTGCTCGCGTTTGTCCATGTCCACTATCGTCCACTCCAACAATAATACACAATCATGACGTATAATGATTACAAATAGAGGTTGTCGTGTTCAGTACTCAGTCATCCTATATAAAGATATATAAAGCACATGAAATTACATCGAACTGAAGATTGAGAGTGAGCACGCTGGCACCAGGGAACAGAATTCGATTGCAGGTGCCTGTGTGTGCAATCACCAAGCCCAGGAAGCAACTTGCAAATCTTGTCAAGGTAGGATCCTCTCAGATGATTTTCCTTTCTTTCCAACTTCCCAAGGTGCTTGGCGTTTTGCCGCTTGGATAAGGCTTGATTCTCTTGGTCCCTGTCATCAGCACAGCAGAGCGCAGGTCCATTTGACTAGACTTGAGCGTTTCGTAGGAAAAAGGGTCAAAGGCACTTGCTACATGGAGGTTTCCTAAAATCGGGGACCCGAAAACAATGGGTTTGAATAGTAAGATAGTCTAATTTTGGATCATTTGAGGGTACCCCCCATTTTAGGAAACTTCCACATGCCAATTGCACGACACTACACCGAGATGTATCAAAGGTCGCGACTGCACATTGAGTACGTAGGAAACACATTGATGGCTTCGGGTCGCGACATGTGACGCTGCACCTGGCCCAAGCGTGAAACGCTCGGAACTTGGGAGGGGGGAGTGCTCTCAAATTGATAGGCCATCAGCTGTAACGCTCCGAACATGGTGTCTGCGATGTAGGTCCAAAATATTTTATTTACATTCCTGTAACAGCAATATTCAATATTCCTAGCTTGTTTCCGCAGCCAGCTTCTAGTATCAGCCTATTGGGTCATATTGGCAATAGAATGGATAAAACATTCATGGTGAAACTATGCCAGACTTCACTCCCAGAATTTGATCTTTGGGGGGTCAAGCTCACCGTTTCAGGAGGTTTCAGGTGGATTTTCCCATGGTGTTCCCCACTCAGCTCGGCCAGGTCCCATGGCGCCGCCAAAGCTGCCGGCCATCCATGGCAGGTTAGATGATTTTTACGGTTTTTTCCCCCACTTTTCCTATGACATTGGAATGGTGCTTCTATACAATTCATTACACTTCCATGAAGTTGACTTTTATGATAATAGACATTACTTGACATCCAAGGCCCATGAGGCCCCCAACTCAAGTGGCAGGGTCCAACTGTTGGAGGGATGGATCGGGATGGTGTTCCAACAAACATCCCAGTTTAAGCCCATTCTATTCCAGTACGGTGCAACTATAACCTAAGAACATGGCTCTGTTCGTTGGGCCGTAGTTTAGTTGCTTGGAGTGGAAACTCCCCATAAAATAACCGTAAAATCCCGTTAAATCTCTACAGAATCTTATCAGCCGCCCGATCCCCATAAAATCATCACAAAATCACACAAACAAAAACATTTTTCAATCCCACTATATCCCATAATCAAAACCCATATAAAATCAACATAAAATCCCATCAACTCCCCATTTTTATGCACCCCCCAAAAAGGGTCATGTTGACCAGGCCTGGCATGGAGAAGTCAGCGTCCATGCCTCGCATTGAAGCGCCGCATCCGCTCACGGTGCCCTGGGACTTGATGGGTTATTGTAAGGAGTTACAGTGTACAGTTATATAGTTATATAATGTTATATATATATATTTATAAAGTCATCCTGGGGAGAGTAGAATCTGTAGAGTTCAACGAATCACTAAGATGGGTCTTTGAACATTCAATATATCGAATTTACTTCAGGATGATTATATATGTTTATGCGTGAACCAATCGTTATAGTATGTTATAGTAACCATAGATACGGTTATATATGGTTATGTGATATATCCATTGATTAGGAATAGTGTTGGATGATATATTCTTTATACTAAGTTACTTACTGAGCAATTTTGCTACATCCCAATAACCACTTGGATTAATAATTTTGATTAGTAACTTGGTCATCGGGATTAATTTCGATTATTGTCATACCATATTAGTACAGGATTATTCATAGATTTCATAGTTGGCGCATATGTATGCAGTATCTGTATCATCATGATAATCATACATATGACGAGAGAGAGAGAGATATATATAATACATACACACACACATATATATATATATATATAAGCAAATATACTAAATAGATCTCTCTCTCTCTCTCTCTAAAATTATATTGAGATATCATAATGAGGTATCACACACACACACATATATATATATACACCTACAATATCATCATGTTATATCCACTGCCAGTATTTCTCTTTTCAGGTGCCCAGCTTCAGACGCCCCGACGTCTCGGGCCAGCTCCAGGTTGCCGCCGGATGGTGTTGAAACGTGTTGAAACGCTGCAACGTGAGATATGGGATGTAACCGGAGATACATAATATATATATATCTCTATATATATATATTTACGAAAGCCAGCCGAAGGGGCTGAGCATAGGTATAAGCGAAGCGAAGCGAAGCTAATCTAGGGGGTGTGGGGGGGGGGAGGCTCTGATTTGGGCCCGTTTGGGAAGGTGAGGCCAGAGCCTGGCTGGGGAGAGCTCCAAAAATGCCGTGCCGCACTTCCGTTTTGTGGAGCTTGAAAGAGAAGCTCCATTTTGGACACTTGTTGGTTGTTTTCTGACGTTTTTCATCGGGTTTCAAAAGCCAAAACACTGTAATTTACAGTGTTTTTGTGCTTTTGGCATGGAACAAGTACTTCTTGCAACATGCTGAAAACTGCGTAAATACCACTGTTTTTGCTAGGTGCTGGCCACAAAACACTGTAAATACCGTGGTTTTTGCTACCAGGAGCAAAAAACACCGTAAATACCGTGGTTTTAAGCTTGCGAGGCGTAAACAACACGGTATTTACGTTTTTTTTGCTCCGAGACTCTTCAAACAATATGTAAACACCACCTATTTAACTATTTTTTTGCTTTAAAAATGAATGAAAAAAAACATACAGCAACAACAACAACAGCAACAACAACAACAACAACAACTACTACTACTACTACGACGACGACGACTACTGTGTGTAAAAGCATTTCGGTGTAAAGATGTTTGTGTGTAAGAGGGTCTGTATGTAAAAGCCTCTCAGATGCAACACACAGAGCATAAAGCGCAAAGAAAAAAACGCCGCCTGAACATTTGTTTGGAGGCTGGCTTTCGTCCCCCTTCTCAGGTATCTTATATTATATTACATATACATATACATATGATATATGATATATGGGATGTATTTGATCAAATTTGGTCACTTAACTTAGGAAAGTATGATGAATATTGATGAATTACACCTGTGAAGTACTTGGAATATGTCGAATTACATGGTCATTCTCCAGTCCCAACTAGAGCATGCACATCCGGAAGTGTCAATGTAAGTCTGTAGCTTCTTGTTCCTGGAAGTATCGATGCATGTGCCATGGGCCCATCTTTGAACACTTGTCTTTTTGGCCAGGAGATCGGACAACTTTCTAGCAAGATTGTCGGACCTGGTGGCATCAGCAAGAAGATGCGGGTAGCTGGGCTGGTCGATGATCTTTCATAATATGATTCCATCCCCAATTGGTAAGTGGCTAGTGGGTAGTAGCATGTACTCACCATATCATAAAGCCAAGCTGGAAATCCCATGTAATGATAAAAATTAAGGTTGCACCAGATGACATATGCCAACACGAACGAACAGCCATGAAGTATCATGTAGTAAACATCTTGCTGACGAGTTTTCCAAAGACCTCGGCCCAGGCACTGACTGCATCCTCCAGTACACCTGACTTGCGAGGAGGTTCCATGCCACAGCCATGCTGTAGCGCTTTGCAAGTGGAAAAAAATAATAATATACAACCATAGTTCATCATAGTTCATCGTGGGTATTAACACCAACTTCTAGGGGTTATATCCAAACTTATGTGGGTTATATCCCAAGTAATGTGGGTAAACATCCCATGGTTATACCATGTAGCCATGTCACGCCAACGCCAACGCCGCAAGGTGTGAAGACGAGTGAGCTGGTGCGGCAACCTGTACCTCAGGCGGGAATGGCTTGGAGGTTTTGGGGGATCATCTCAGAATTTTCCGCTGTTTGAGGTCGCCCCGCTGCAAGAATCGCAGAGCAGCAGCCCGCCGAGAAATGCAGGACACAGCGGCTGTGAAGTGAAAAAAACGACCCTTATGACTTTGCGATATTAACTTTGCACGCACAGAAAATAAATATCCCAATACATGTCTATAAATAGATTCGTAAAGTAAATGTGTATATTAAACACACACACATACATATTTTCACACACACACATATATATATATATACACATTTTTATGCATAATATACGTAGATATGTGCATTTCTTTTGAATATATCTATGTGTATCTTCTATGTTCTTGACATCCATATATTGCCATATATATATATCGATGATCAAACGTCCAGTCTTTCTGCCAGGAGGTGCATATCCTGCCCCAGTGGCAGCCGCTCCAGAGCCTCCGAAAGAGGCTGGGGGACTGAGAAAATCTCTAGGTCTATTCTCTAGGTGTATAACACACACACACACGTATATATTTATATATATAAATATATATATATATATGCGATACTACTTGTACAGTATGTATATATTTATATTAATATATATATATATAATATGAATATGTTTCAGGAAGTGCACCCGACCAATAACAGCAACAATCACAATGACAACAATCAGGAGTAACATATCAACAGTATTAAATGATACTGGGTCAAATGAACCACACCCACTTCATCCCCAGAAAGTCCACTCCGCAGGAGAAGCTGGAGTACATGAAGCCAGCGGAAGCGGCACATTACAACTTCCGAAATCTGCCACTAGAGATCTTCGATCACGCTCCAGACTTTGAGGTGAAAACTCCTCAGGAATGGATGAAAGAGGCCATGGAATCACAGAAGCTGGGTCAGATATGGGTAACACATTTGTCTTGAAACCGTGGTGAAACAGTTGCGAAACACAGGACCGAAGATGTGCTGCGTTTTTGTGATCGCCTGGTCAGGTGCTGAAAGATACCAGCCGTCCGCAGGCATGCGTGGTACATTACAAGAACAAAAAATGGACCATGGTGCGCTGCTGGGTGCTGCGCTACGAGGAATCCATCAACAGCCCCTTTGACTGCAGCCTTCAAGATGACACCGTTGTGTCACATGAATTCAGTGGGGTTATAGACTTGTGGAGCTATCTAACGATATCTATATCTATAATCCGCATCTGTATTTGTATCTGTATCGATGTCATAACACTATGTTTAGACATATTGATCATTGCTTGCCAGCAATAGGATGGGGTTGGTTTTGACGAATGTCTCAGGATATATCGTGGAGCTGGAAGATGCGAGCCAAAAAAAGGTGAAGAGCAGCTTGGAACAGAATGTGATTTGATCCCAGCCACATAACATGAAACTGTGGATTTTTAGGGATTAGTGGGGTTAAGTTCGAGACTCCCCCTATCAACATTTTGGGGTTCCTTCTTGGGGTATTTACTTTTAGTAGTGGCTTGAAATCGTGGAGGCATGTCTTAGAGTCAGCGGGCAACCCTTCGCAGTGCCAGGACTTGGCCGATCTTTGTTGCGTGTGACATGCTGAACTTCATGCCCAGGGGCAATGTGGTAAACCCGGTCATAAACCGTTCCAGTGACCAAAGATTTTGGGGTCATTTTAAATATCTTTAAATCATCCCAAATGAGGGTATAATACCTATATAATACCACCAATTGGGAATGGTTTATCATTGGGCTTACCACATTAATGATGTAGCTCAGGATTATCTCTCAGATTCAATGCAGAAGACCCGAAGAATTTCGAAAAGAGGGTCGAGACTTGCCGGGCGAGAAAGGCCGACAGTTGCAGAACAGTCACATGATGACCGTTGCAGAAGCCTTTTGGCCACTGTTCTCTCTGGATATCTTTGGATGACAGGAAGCACTAGATTCCGTGCGCACGGTGAAGTGCCATAGCCATCGGATCATCGGCTTTCGAATGGGGGGCAATCGGGCAATCGGGCAATCCCCTCGGTCAGGCGCATTGCGAATTGCAAGAAGCCTTCATTGATTACATCGAGTACAAAGATGACAAACTTGTAACTCCGATGCCACGCTCAGAGAAGGAGTTTTTCATCAGGGCATGTCCTGGCCCCAGACTTTGGCCAACTGGGCCAACTGGGCCAAGTGATCCAACTGCAACAGCGGCTGAATCGGTGCATCCCCTCAGGTCTGGAACGGTGTAGCTTGGAAGAACCCAACGGGCATGGGAGCACCATACGGGAACTCATGCAAGAGGTGGAAGAGAACTACATCCTCTGCATGAAGCTGTGCCTTTGTCCAGTGATATCAGTGATACCAGTGAAGCCTCACGGAGTGACTGATGTCAACTCTATGCAGCGCATGGGCTTGTTCTCACCACTTGCTGATGTTGAGCATGTCAAGATGTGCCAAGGTTCAACGTGAAGGTTGAGCTGATTCCACTCTTTGGCACGAAGGAGCCTGATATAGTGCAAGACTTTATCATTATAATGAGTGTGGTTCATTTTCAATTGAACCTGAGGTACCGTCAAAAGTGACTTGTAATGTCCTGTGCATGTACAAGACGATGGGATCTCCTGAAAAAATCATTTTGGAGGTTTCCTGACATAGGGGTGTTCCCATGAATTTAATTAATTTCAATATAATTTTAATAGAATTTTCCATCATAAACCATCCATTTTGGATAAAGAACATGGGCACCCCCCAAAAAAAAACCAAAAAGGATGCGTCCCGCAGCTCCGGTGCAGGAGGCATTCCTCCCAGATGAGTCCAACGAGTTCTCGATGCAGTTTGCATCTGTAATGAAAAGTTCCTTGATTGGAAACAGCCAAAAACCACTCGGGTTTGGGTCAGTGGTGGGTCAATGGTGGGTACCCTCTGGTAATTTAACGTAGCTATTGAAAATGGCCATTTATAGTTGATTTTCCCATTAAAAATGGTGATTTTCCATAGCTATGTTAAATTAGCAGAGGGTAAATGGTGAGTGAATGGTGGAAATGGAGAGATGTGGCCAGGTTTTCTACCACTACAATGCCCTGAATCTGGACTGGTAGAGCATGCTCAGCCAGAGGCGCCGATACTTTTGTGTAAAAAAATGGTGGGCTCAGAGTCAAAGACCACCAGAGTCATGGTGATCATGTTGAGGTTCAAACTCTTCACTCTCCTTCATTTTTGTGGTTCAAACTGGTGTTTCTTAACCCGATGGCATGGCAAAAAATGACTCGCCAGATGGGCGTCAAGCAGCTTGTTGCGGAGATGCTGCAGATGCCTTTGCTCGGTTCCAGCGTTTTTGCCATCACCAGCCAGGTCAATCGGGGTCGGGTGAAGCTGAGACGGAACTGTTTTGGCATGTCTGAGCGAAAATATACAGTGGCTGTTTCTCATGTCAATTGTAGTAGCATATGTGTTGAGGGTACCTATACCATATACCCCTACAAGATTCCACAAGCATTTATGTGCAAGCATATAATTAAATTATAATTTGCAAAGATATTGAAACACACAGCAAAGCTGCACATAGACTAGATTGCATTATATAGATCTGATTCAGATTAGGTTAGACTACCAGACTAGGACTATCATATTATAAAGGTGATGATTTTTGATTAGATAAGGTAGATATAGGATGACATATAGGATGATATAGGTAGATACTTGAAGGTCTTGAAGGTGATGAATTTTCAGGGCCTTGTGCCAGGTCTGGCGGCGCTACATCAACGAAGTGGCCCGGATGGAGCTGGTGGACACCACACGTGTGGGTGGCGTGGATGTGACACGACAACGGAAGCTCATCAAGAACGGAGACTCGATCATTTTCGAGCCCAAGGATCTCTGGAATGTCAGTTTTTTCGAGTGATTTTTGATGTGTTGTTGTTGTTGTTGCTGTTGTTGTTGTTGTTGTTGTTGTTGTTGTTGTTGGTGTCTGCAGATGTAGACAAATAGTCGAAAAAGAGTTCAAAAAGGGCCCCACTGTTTGTGTATGATCTCTGCCGTGGATACTTAGATGCTTGTGTTCACTGGCTGTTGTTGCTTGCTCGCACGTGACGTTGAGACAGTTCCAACATTGCATGGCGAAGCCCGGCAGGACATGTTTGAGCACCAGAAGAACCACATAGAAAGAATAACCAACCATTTGAAACGTGGCTGGCGGGACTACATCATAGCAGAGGCCTGCCTAGCTTGGGGGGATGCATTGCACTGCATGCATTCCAAGCCGCCAATGGGTCGAATGAGCAGCTGTTGAGCTTTGTTTGAGGCACCCTTTTCTGGCTAACCTTTGCACCCATCACCCATATTCATCCATCACCATCACCATCCATCACCCCAAAATTTCCAGGTCTTGGACAAGCTGTCCGACGACTACAATTTTTTCAGCGACGACTTTGAGAAACACATGCAAAGTCCGCTCCACGCACTGCTTCGCAAGTTGGATTCTTGGATGCATCGCCCCCGACGATGTTGGTGCCCATGGATGCCAATAGTATCCAATAGTGCTCTTTGTGCCATTGTTGGAATGACTATTTCAGTGCTAGAATCCTAGAATCTGAAAATATTGATGCATTTTTTTAATTTTACAGTATTTTTTTCTTCCATTGGACACCAAGTCCCTGCGTCCAAGGACTTGATCATCAACTCCCAACTTCGATGGTCCACAGCTTGCACTGCATCGTTGGTTCGATGGAACATGACGGCAGATATTTTAAGATCTTCTTAGGATATTCTGAAATGATATTTCTCAGATCATCGAATCATCTCTATTACCTATCAACAAGCATCTATCCAATATTTATATGTTTTCATCACCATAAATATCTATCCAACTAATCAATGTAATTTATCAATGTGGGAAAGCCTGGCTACCATAAACAGCTACCATGACTGGGGATGGCGTTCACGTATCCCACCGAGGTTTGTGCATGACTCCATGCAGTCCTGGTGCAATTTCCTGCCACTTGTCGTTGATGGCAGGGCTTTCCAACTACAATCAGGTAGCGCTGGTTAAGGTGGTTTACAACCCATATGCAACTGGGGATATCGCTTATATAACTGGTGTATAATATGTGTTGGATGTGGTTTCCATCGTTTTCCACTCCTTTGAATTCCTGCTTTGCTGGTAGCAGACGTTGGAATTGTGTGGTATCCCTTTGCAGGACATCATTCCTGCCAAATGACAAGAAGAAGCGCCCTTTTCCGCTGCTTTATGTCGACTTGGAGGCTTGTTACATTTTGTGACGCAGAGAACATCAGGGTCCTTCGAATTCCTGCAGAAAACGGATGGAAGATGTTCGCAGCCATCAATCAGATGGGAACAAGCCAAATCCTCAAAACTTGAAGGCCGACAATGACGAGATCTACTTGGAACCAGAGCCTGCAGTCGGTTGACCCAGTGGCTGTGTGTGATGAACCAAGAATCATACCAATAAATCCCCATGAAACCATATTAAATCCCCAATACATCCCCAATAAGCCCATTAAATCCCCCATTCAAAACCAGAGAAGACCACAGAAGATTTGTTTTGACATCGCCAGGATTTTCTGAACCAGTTCGACAGCATGCTTAAGGAGTCGGTGCGAGCAACCAACATCGTCTCCGCCTAAAAGGACTCTTTCACAGATTTTCACAGTCCGATGACGAAGAAAAATGGCAACAGCTGGATGTGTCGAACGACCAATTCCGAACGACGAATTCCGAACAAACCCTACGGAAGCTTTTCCGTGGCGGTTGCGTCGTGGTCGATGTCGGGTCCGGGATGGCTGCAAGGTCCGAACCATGGAAGCTGAGCTGATGCCCTTCACAAATGCAGAGGGCTCAGATGGTGGTGCCATGACATGGGTCAGGGGTGCACCAACGAACCCCCACAAAATTTATGGCAATTAAGTAATTTTTCAAATTTTAGTAATTATAGTCTTAAATTAACCCATTGTTTTAACACACACACAGACATACATACATACATACAGACAGACAGACATACATACATACACATACATGCATACATACATACATGCATGCATGCATGCATGCATGTATGCATGCATGCATGTATGCATGCATGCATACTTATACATACCTACATACATACCTACCTACATACTTATATACAGACGTACAGACATACAGACATACAGACATACAGACATACAGACGTACAGACATACAGACATACAGACATACAGACATCCATCCGTACATCCGTACATCCGTACATCCGTACATCCGTACATCCGTACATCCATACATCCGTACATCCTTACATCCATACATCCATACATCCATACATGCATACATCCATATATCCATACATCCATGCATACATGCATACATGCATACATGCATACATGCATACAGACAGACAGACAGACAGTGACAGACAGACATACAGACATACATACAGACATACAGACATACAGACATACAGACATACAGACATACAGACGTACAGACGTACAGACATACAGACATACAGACTTCCATCCGTACATCCGTACATCCGTACATCCGTACATCCATACATCCATACATCCATACATCCATACATCCATACATGCATACATCCATATATCCATACATCCATACATGCATACATGCATACATGCATACATGCATACATGCATACATGCATACAGACAGACAGACAGACAGACATACAGACATACAGACATACAGACATACAGACGTACAGACGTACAGACGTACAGACGTACAGACATACAGACATACAGACTTCCATCCGTACATCCGTACATCCGTACATCCGTACATCCGTACATCCGTACATCCTTACATCCATACATCCATACATCCATACATCCATACATCCATACATCCATACATCCATACATCCATACATGCATACATCCATATATCCATACATCCATACATGCATACATGCATACATGCATACAGACAGACAGACATACAGACATACATACAGGCATACAGACATACAGACGTACAGACGTACAGACATACAGACATACAGACTTCCATCCGTACATCCGTACATCCGTACATCCGTACATCCGTACATCCTTACATCCATACATTCATACATCCATACATCCATACATGCATACATCCATATATCCATACATCCATACATGCATACATGCATACATGCATACAGACAGACAGACAGACAGACATACAGACATACATACATACAGGCATACAGACATACAGACATACACACATATCATATATCACATTTGATGCGTCGCCGATTTTCAGCGATTTTGGGGAACCCCCTCGACATCAGGTCGAAGAGCGGGTTCTCTTCACTCCCGAGCTCAGTCGGGACCTGATGTCCCCGATGTCCTTTGGCATGCGATGCCTGGCCCTGGCCCTGGCCATGTGTTGTACCAAGGTCCGGATGGGGACGATGTGGATTATGATCCGTTAGATCCTCAGGATCCGAAGAGGTGTGTGAGAACGGGATACATTGCGGATACATTGGGATGATACACTGCAAACAACAAGATTGGTGCCCGTTTTGCTGGATGTTTCTTTAATTGATGTGAAAGATGGTCCAAATACTTGCAGCCGCGCTGCTCCAGAGCAGCTTCATGGAACTGTGACCTTGAACTCATTGGAACATCTGCATGCATTGCCAGCTTCACTTTGAACAGCCCATGTATTAACTAAGTTTCCAGACCTCAGATGGAGTGGTTGTTCTCCACACTCAATGGCTAAATCACTGGACCAACAGATCTTTCTGTGCAGCGCCATGGCGCTTGAAGCCCACGTGAAAGATGCCAAATCTACAGATCTGGTACCGGTTTTTCATGTCAAGATGGAAGGATTTGCCTAAGACTTCAGAGGCGTGAGCTTCCAAATGCTTCCAAGGTTTGGATGACAGGATGGACAGGATGCGACATTGCGACATCATCATCATTTTGAATGGGATTTTACAGCATCTATGGGGATAAATGTTGATAAACGTTGATGGTTGATGATCCTTTTGGGGGCACAGGCCTGCTATGCCAGATGAAGAGTTCCTCAGCAGCTTTCGGAAGCGCTACGCTTTGCTTCAGCAGAAGCTGGCAGAGGCTCAAAGGGCTCAAAGTAAGACCGAGGACTGGCCGTCAGGCCGTGGCCTCCGGGTGAGAAATCGCGCAGTTGTTTCAACATAGATCACTAAGGTTGTAATGACATGTAATGACTATATATAGGCATAGGTTATATTATTCTATGGTTCATGATGCATATATATATATACATACAAATGTACGTAGTATAATATGACATGACATGACATGACATGATATAACATAATATAATATAATATAATATAACATAACATAATATAATATAATATAACATAACATAACATAATATAATATAATATAATATATATTTATATCGAACTAGCTAGTGTAAACATGTTAATAGGGTGACACTCTACAGCAAGAAACATGTCACTGCGTCAGGAGGAGGAAGATGACTCTGCTCCACCTTCACAAGCTACCCAGCTGCCAAAGGTTAATGCTCAGCAGATCTCCCTGATTTCTTATGTTCAAATCACTTTTTTGATTCTTTGAAACATATGGATATGCAATTAAATGATATTAAGTATTAGTACCATACATCAATCAACACACACACACACACTGTATATATATATATATGTATATATATAATATTTACGTACGAACGCACGAAGCAAGTTTAATATACAACACATCAGAGCTGTTCTTTTAGGCCGAACGCTTGGCGCGGGCTCGAAGAAATCGCTTGAAGATGCCGGAGCTCAAGGACTTGCGGCAGCAGCTGACCTCCAAAGCCGTGGAGCACGGGCATTTGTCACTTGGAAACGGGGCCTCAGGGGGGGGTACCATTGGGCAATGGGATAAATATTTGTTTGCTATGGGATAGATATGGCTTTGCTGTGGGATAAATATTGTTTTACTATGGATAATCTAGTTTACTATGGGATAAATATGGTTTTACTATGGATAATATGGTTTTACTATGGGATAAATATGTATTTACTGTCGGATAGATATGGGTTTACTATGGACACATAAGGTTTAATATGGTTTTACTATGGGATAGTATGGTTTTACGATGGATAATATAGTGTTACTATGGGATAATTATGGTTTTACTATGGATGATGTGGTTTTACTATGGGATAATATGGTTTTACGATTGGAAACATATGGTTTTACTATGGGAACAATATGGTTTTACTATGGATAATATGGTTTTACTATGGGATAAATATGTATTTACTGTTGGATAGATATGGGTTTACTATGGACACATAAGGTTTAATATGGTTTTACTATGGGATAGTATGGTTTTACGATGGATAATATAGTGTTACTATGGGATAATTATGGTTTTACTATGGATGATATGGTTTTACTATGGGATAAATATGGTTTTATCATGGGAAAAATATGGTTTTACTATATGGTTTTACTATGGGATGAATATAGTTTTACTATGGGATAATATGGTTTCACTATGGATAATATGATTTTAGTGTTGGATAAATATGGTTTTAGTATTGGATAACTATATGTTTACTATGGGATAAGTTTTACTATATGGTTTTACTATGGGATAATATGGTTTTACTATGGGATGATTATAATATGGTTTTACTATGCTTTACTCTGTTACACATGCATTTTTTTGGGGCTTTACTAGGTTTTTTGGTATGAAGATGGGGTGGTGATATTCATTGTTTATCATGGCTTGTGCTAAAATGGGGATAAAGGGTCATGTAGGGCATGATTTTTGAGATGATCTGAGTAGGAAAAAAACATGATGATCAAAGCCTCCAATATGTGGGAAAGGCTTGGGTTCTTGTGTGCTAGTGCGCGAAATTCCCGAATTTCAGGCTGATCCAAGGTGAATTCGATGGACAAAGACATGGCAATGGACGATCCCAGACGAAAATTCCACCATTTTTAGTGGATTTCCCCACTGGTTTTAGTTGATTTTCCCCGGGAAACGAAACCTCCATGGCTAGCTGCTGGGGATTTCCCACCTTTTTTTTGTCCAAGTCGTGAATCCAATGGCGATGCTGAGGCCAGCCAGCATGGGCGCCTCAGGAGAATGGTCCAGATTTCTACCGAAGGCAGACGACGCTGCGGAAGTGAAGGCAGGAATTTACCCTCTGGTAATGACTAACATAGCTATTGAAAATGGCCATTTATAGTTGATTTTCCCATTAAAATGGTGATTTTCCATAGTTATGTTAGTTTACCAGAGGGTATACATTGCGCTGTTCAGCAGCTGTTCAGAATCATGACGAATCCCCAAAAGCGCAACAGCAGTCGGATCATTCTCTTGCTCCGATGATTTGGAAGTGGGAACGTCTGCAGCTAGGGCCTAGGGGGTGGAACACCCCCAAATCTAGGGCGTTCTGCTGGCAGGTTGCAAGTGCGGCTGAGGCAGCAGGACTGCCAACAGGCCGCATGAGACTGGAATATAAGTTATACCTTCAAATGGGTGATTTTATAGGGAAATGATGAGTCAAAAAGTCACCATCAAACTTGGGAGTAGCCTGTATTTTCAGACAAACCCAAATGCATCCGAGATCTTTTGAATGGCTTGTAAGTTCCCATTTCAGGAACTTGGATGATTTTACACTGCACGGCATGAACATTCCTCCATGCAGCGAGTCGTGCCAGTTGCTGCAGCACAGCTGGCACAGATGGCCGCTAGACGCGAACAACAGCGGCAGCAACACATGGAACAGCCAGGTGCCCCAGAAACTCAGACAGTTGGATGCTCTCCATTTCTGGCAGTGGCCTTCAGCTGAGGTTGTCTCAACTGAATGAGCAAGCAGAACAGATGAAGAATGCACTGTCGATGCCTTGGACAAGGAAAGGGGCAGCAAATGATTCGTAAGTGGAAAACACATGGAGGTGACGTATGGTGAGGTGGCTTTCCAATATCCTTTTCATTATCCAAGATTTTGGGGAAAAAACATCATCAAACCATATCAAGATGGATGAATTATTAAGCCCTCAAACCAAACAGAATAAGACAGAATAACACATAACAAGCCCACAACAAGCCCACATAAATCATGACAACCCCCTTTCTACGGTATCCCTTTCATTGTCCCCTAGGCGTCCTGTTGCCTCCCTAGGCATGGCACGCGAGCTCCAGGCTAGAATCTTAGAATCAGCCCCAAGTGCCGGGCTGGTGATTGACCCAATTTTGGGCTCCCCAAAATCTCCCAAAGATGTGGGGGTTTCCTATCCATCCTAAAATGGGGGTACCTCCTTGCATCATCCATTTGATGTTCGGATTTTCCATAAACCATCCAGCTATTGGGGTATGGTGATGATGATGGAGAGAGAGGGTGAGAGAGAGAGCTATTGGGGTATCCCCATTTTATGGAAACCCCCGTGTGTAAATGTAAAGCATCCACCATGGTTTCCTGGCATTTTTTTCGAACTTTTCTATCTTTGCGGTATTCTTGGAAATTGGGCAAAATCCTCCGGCCTGTTTCATTGTTGGATCGTTGCCAGGCTGGGGTTTTGATATGTTTTGAGTTTTGACCCATGCCCACCAAAATTGATGAGAAAGGATCGAGAGTCGCAGCACCTTTTTTTGCGTTTCCCAATCTTTTCCCCCTTTTTCCTGGTAAGGTCAGGCCGAAGATTGGTCTGGCATGCCTGCAGGTTGGATCTTTGTCAATCCAGGTGCCATCCCGTGCCAAACAGTTGAAGCGTGTGCCAACAGCACAGGCTTGGAAAGGCACGTGGGCCGCCTGCGACAGCTGCAGGAACAGCAGGGTCAGGCAGGGAGCCAATTTTCGCATTACCGTCCCCAATGGGTCCGTTACCTTGGCAGGTGGCTGCGGACCTCCAAAACTTGAAGGGGAACAAGGGGAATGACAGAACTCAGGCACCAAAAGGCGGGACAGCAATTGAGAGAATCTCGCTTGTATGAAGTGGTGTGTTGATCAACTGCTTCAAAGAACTTGCAATATTTCAGGATCTCCTGAGATGAAGGGAAAAGGTCAAAGAAAGGGAAAGGCCACTGCGGCTCATTGTTCTGTTGTTACAGTACCTAATGTGCTGAAGTGTCACAGTCGCAGGTGTCCTGACCAATTCTCGACCTGTGCCGTTTTAGCAGGCCTATGGAAAATGGGGTCCTGGCAAAGGATATGGCAACTACCAGGGTGACTACCAGGGTGACGACCAGGGTGAGAACTACAGCAGCCAAGGCCCAGACTTCGGCGGCCAAGAGCCAGATTGGAACTGGGGAGGTTGGTACCCCAACCAGTACCAGCAGTGGATGGGACCTCCGGGGCCTCCGGGGCCCCCGGGGCCCCGAGGAGGCCCTCGCTATGGACGACGAGGCATGCAGCCAAGGCGAGCTCTGGGAGTTGAGATAGGCTGAGGATGGCTGCGGTGGGTTGAGATTCAGATCAATTTCATAAGAGTATAGATTGAAACATATTGAAACCAAGCTATTACACCAAGGTTTGCAAATGTGGATCTACGTAGACCGTTTGCTCGCGGATTTATGTGACCGTTTGCTCGTGAGATGCACTGAGGGGCATGGGACAACCGATGTCCCCGGTTCAGAGCCAGGGTCTCCAGGGGATGTACAGGACGGGTGTTTCACTGGAACGGAACCGCGACCGCATTTGTCGCATTTGGCAGTCGCGAAAGCGCACATTTTTGGGTCTGAATCTGTGTCACATCACTATAAAACGAGAAAAAGCACGTACAATTTGAGCTTTCTGCAAGAAAAGCCGCCTGAAAGTGAATAAAACAATAATAAGACAACTTTTCCCTATATATATATATATCTATACATATAAAAACCAATTAAACCATACTAGCACATCAATAACAACTGTAAATGACATGCATCGTTCGGGTCTCGTGTACCGTTGCTCGAGGAGCCCTGCAGAGATGCAAGCCATCAATGGCATGAATGCAGTTCTGCAACGCGTACGTGGTAAAACAGAGACCCGGCGAAACACCACAGCGGTGTCATCGTGTCACCATTTCCCCTGTAATTAAAACCTGGCAATAACGGAGAAGCAATATATTTGTTATTTTTAGTGGGAGAATAACCTATGAGACCATATAATATGTATATAGTTACTTATGTATATATATATATATTGTGAGCAATTTTACCCTTGTTCTAGGTGTTGCCAAATGTAGTTTCGATACCTGCTTTGCTGGTTAACCGAGTCCCGTTATGGCGCGGCAGCGACAGCACGATTTGTTTTCCTTCAAGGGGCGCTTGAGCCACAAAGGGCGTTTGAATGTATGTTGGTATGTGCATATGATACATGCACCTAGCGCCTGGTTCCCTTTGACACCCCCCATGCCCGTGGTATTCTTCGAACCACGGACACGAGAGAGGGAACTTTTGAATTAGAATGTTTCTGCTACCTGAATTACGCCTATTTACATAAAACAAGCCATTCGGCTCCCCCTTCCCCACATACCCGAAGGGAATAATGGTTCAGGGTTCGCCTACTCTATGGCTGTCGATGCATCGGCGCTTCATCAAGCTGTACAACGCGAATTATTGCTAGCTAACATCTACTTTTCTACGTTGGCTAAGCTTGCCACTCACCCGTCGGGAGAAATGGGTCACTTCGCTACCAAAGATTTAGGATGCTAACTAACGAATTCACGTGCACATTGCAGAATTTTCGTGCAGATTGGGAATATCAAAAGGGTCTTGAACCTAAGCGAATTAGTCTACTGCCTCGCTCAGAGTCCACTCAGTTGGTCTTTTCCTGATCATCTGTTTACAAAGACGATACACATCTTGTAGTCCAGTGACCATTTTGATGGACAGAGGTAATAAGTTCACTGCTCACGGCGGACTTTCTTCCATTGAGGTGTTGTTGGAGTTCTCTCCCATCCTGCCGCACGTTTCGGAGCAGCTTTCGGCGATGAAGGCTTTGCAGGCGGTGCCTTTGATGGTCCATGGGATTTCGGCATAGCCTTGCCCTTTGGTGCACTAGCCGATGAGGATGATGCTGAACCAGTGCCTTCAGGTGTCTGTGAAGGTTGCGCAGGTGGTTTAGCAAACTTGGAAGCTGCAGTATGTCCAACCGCTTTGAATACTTCACTCACCACTTCGTCGCCAAGGGCTGGAGCCATCTTCGTTTTCATCTCGGTCTTTCCCCTCTGCGCCTCGGCCTCGGCCAGCTGAATAGCATAAGCCATCTTGCTGACAAAGTTTTGAGGTAAAGGAATGCCACATTGTTGGGCGGCAAAGAGCAGTTCTACTCTCTGTTCTTTCTCCCTCAGGCTCAGATATACCGAGAAAGCTGGGAGTTCGATGCAGTTGGGGAAGCCGTGGCTCCCGGAGCGAAAGAAGGTGTATGACTCGTGCTCCGGAAAGGTTCCTTTGAGCAGTCGTCGAAGGAAGTTGCTGATGGTTACTCGCATCTCCTGTTTCCCTTGGGCATCGGCCTGCATTCGGTTCATTGGCATGAGGAAACCCAATGATTCGGGAGTGTACCCGGCGCAGACCAGAAATTCCATCATCTTTTCATAGATCTCCAAATTCTTGATGACAGGCATCATCATGTTTCTTGGTCGTCCTGAGTACATCTTCTCTCCCTCTGACCAGGAGTTCCTTTTCCCTTTCTCCTGAAAGAGTTCATCCAATTCCAGCTCTGTCGGCCGCTTGAGGTTGCCGTCCGGGTCTTCGCCTGTGTAGGGGCAGAAGTCGTCCAGGTCCAGCCGGACTCGCCTGGTTTCCGTCATCATCACATGGTACTCCTCTGGGGTCATAGTGACTCTCTGGTTATAGTAGTGCCTGAACATTGTGATGACCTTTGACATGACAGCATTGTCATACAAGTGAGCCGCGGCCTCGGAGACATCATTGTTGATAAGACCGTCTTCTGGCATACCCTTGCTGCCGCTCTCAAGATTCTTGGTCCATGCTGGAAGTTTGGTAGAGGGCTCATCATCAGGTTCGACGTCCATTTCATCATCGTCTTCTTCAATGATTTCGTCTTCTTCCTGTTGAGCTTCCTCCTCCTGATCCATTTCCTCATCGTCGCCTTCATTGTAGTCGACCTCGTCAGGATTGAAGCCATAGTCATTGGATTCGGATACGTTTTCTTGTGCTTGATTGACCGTATCCTTGAACAATGATTCTTCTTGTCGACGAACTTCTTCATCGAGCTCTTTCTTTGTGGCCTCATCTTCATCGTCTTCAGGAGCTTGTAGCCGATATGGACGAATCCCGCAACTCTCGAGTTCTGTCCAGCAAACTAGACACACTGCTAGCTTTGTCGGCGTCTCGTTGATACAGTGAGGACAATGGCGGCAACCTGAAGTTTGCACCCTTTTGCGTTCGACTATGTAATCAATCAGCTTGATGCGGGCCAGGTATTGTTCTTGTCCGCCAGGCTCGATGAGGTTGTTCTTGAATTGGTTGACGATGTTCATGGCATCCATGGCAATCTCGTCAAACGGTTGGTCTTCGGCGTCGATGCACTGACTTGCAACTCTTAGGATGGACTCCTTGGTGGCTACCGTTCTTGATTTGATAGTTCCAGACCTGACTACCTGGTCGTCGCCCGAAGGGACGAACAACCGGAGCCATGTCTTGTTGTACTGATCCTTAGGGTCCTGAATCCATCCTCCTTTGATTGCTGAGAATGGGATGATCCTTGGTGAAACGATCTGTCCCGAGTCAGTTAGTCGACCGCCATATTCCACCATCAAGGTCTCGGTCGGGATGAACAAGCATATGTAGTCACCCTTACGCGTATCAACGCTCTTCGTGATGGTCCATGATCTGTGATCCCATGGGACGTACGGGTTGAAGAACGTGAACATCCGATGACCTTCTCCAAGACCTCCTGGAATTAATCCTTGCCTCCAGATGCTTCGGAGGTTGGTCTTCTTGGTGATGTGGAAACAAACCGGTAATGACAAAACAGTGTTGGGCGCGATTGGATGCGAAAGCAGCGAGGACAGCAATGAAACGTCGTCTCTCGAAGATCCTTCTTTGTGCCCCGTAGGAGCACGAACCGCCACTGGATAGAGCAGTAGACCTTCATCAGGGATGTGCGTATCCGCATCGACATTGTTGTCAATGCACGTCAGGCTGCGGCGATCAATATCCTTGTTGATCCCAAATGCCAAAACTTGTTCACGCACACGACGTCCATACCTGGCACAGTGGAACATGATCTTGAAGAGCAATGTCATGCGAAAGTTCGCCTCATTGACATTCCATGCACTCTGATCATTTGCTCTTCCCTTTGGGGCAAGGAATACGTGTGGCCAGCGTGCATAATCGTGCCTCCAGATGGACTCACATTTGAGCACTTCCTCGATGGGCACCCAGCCGGCGTCATCACAGGGCAGACTCTGCTGCTCTGATACCTTCCCCACATTGTGCCGTAGGATCCTGTTCAGTGAGGCACTCACCTTGTCCTCGTAGGTGTCGAGTCGGTTGCCAGTTTCGAAGCGGTAGTTGGTCGCATATTCTACGCCGCCAAAGTAGGAGCAATTGAAGAAATGGGCCCCTGTGGTTGGGATGATTTTCAAGAAACCATCTTGCGGCGCCTCGACACGTTTGTAGAAGGTCTTCCTGATGTTGTTGTCAGAGTAGCTTGCCATGAAGTCTGGCACTGACCAAGTGTCACCTCCTCCTCTGACGATAGCGTCTCGGATCACTTCGTTGAGGTCAACAACGTTCTGTGGTCCCAGCTTTGTAACATCACGCCCTTCAATGCAGAATTTACCATACTCATCGAGGTCACCAACTTCAGACATAGTTCTGATGCTGTCATACCATTGGTGTTCGCTAAACCTCGGTTTTGTAGGTTCATCTGTTTGCCCCGACCCTTCAGTAGCACCTGAACCGTCCTTCTTGTGCTCAGGAGGCTCCATATCGACGTCATCAGATGTGGGACTATCAGCCTCGAGCGAAGCTCGGACGGCCTTTAGCACTTTTCTGACTTCATCTCTCTTCTCATGTTCACATTCAAGATGGCCATGTTTGGTGCTACCACAATACAAGCACACATTGACATCCTCAGAGACAGTGAAGAGTTTTCCCAACGCATCCAAAAGTTGTTGTCTCCCCGACATCTCTGAGTCCCTGACCACATCAGTGGGATCGTTTGCTGGCTCATCAGCTTCCTCCTCCCCAGGGTGAGCCGAAGACTCGTCACCTGGCTTGGCATCGGCATCAGCGCCCATACTGGCGTCGTCCCCTGTGATGTTGTTCTTCCTGCGATAATGAGAGAATACCTGATCCGTCTCCCATTCTGTGAGGCAGCTGAAATTGGCCAGCGATTCATATCCGGAGATTGCGTGGATGATCTTCATGACCCTCTCGGCTTCTGCGGTTTGCAGTGTGCAGTCGAAGGATCCCCGTCTCTTGTCATTGATGGTGCTTGAGGTTCTTGATGTCGATGTGAACTGAGCCAATGCCTTTTCCAATCCATTGAGATATTCAGCTGGATCAACACTGGCATTGAAAACATCAACAACTCCTTTGGCCATATTGGCCACATCCAAGACACCAAGCCAGAATTCGATGATATCTCCAGTTTTCTCGGCAGATGCACGGGAGAATCCAAAGATCTCGTTCCTCTCCTTCACCTCGGGAACGGCGACCTTCTCGAAGAAGTCTTTGTATGCGACATTTCCGCAATCCTTTGTGACTCTGTAGATCAATAGCCACTTCTTCGCCACTTCTTCGCGACTTCATCAAAAACTCTTTCGCGATAGATGCTGAATTGCTTGCCGCGTCCGTTCCGGAAAATTTCCAGAGCTTGCCTCTTCGAAATTCTGACTCCTCCCATGTGAGATAGAGATTTCATCAACTGCTCCCCATACGCCAACGATGCATTTGAAATCAACGAAGACGCAGTAAATGTGAGCCAGGTTTGAAATCCTTGATTGATGTCAACAATGTCAACACCAAGATCCTCGAATGCAACCTTCAATCTGGCCGCAAGGAG